AAAAAAACTGCAAAATTTATAAAACAGTATTTATTAGCAATTTTAATGTGGTTATTAATGTTATAAAGAGGGATAATCCCCTCGATTCCAAATCATTGAGGCTAATTTCTAGCCATGGAATAATGGCGCGGTTATTAATGTTGCATACAAACAAACAATTCTATTCACAAACTTTATATTTTCTGTTAAACCTGTTTTCTAAACACACAAACAAAATGGAAAGTTGACGGAGAAAAAACAATCTTTTAAGAATATGAATGTTTTGACATCATAAATAAATAATAAATATTTTCCTTTTGTGTGTAAACAAACATAACCCTTTTCACTATATTTAATTGGAAAACTCAATTTAATATTTACTTACCTTTTTGCCAAAACTTCCAATATTTTTCTCATACTTACTACAAATACATAATATAATCAAGAAAAACGTCATGCTAAACAAACGTGAGTCGTGAATTTCAGTGTGGAAAAGTTAGTAAAAAATTTAAAGACACTAGATTTTACATAGTGAAAAAACTTGTAACAAACGTAACAAACTTAAAGTTACTTCCTTTTCCTCACCCCGTTCTTCGTGTGTCTGGACAAGCTCCATCCCCTCCCTGTTGCGAATCTGGCAATGCTAGTTGCACAGCCATTGTAAAACCATACCGCGCTAGAGCGACATGTTGGAGATGTCAGACTCGACAATTGCGCCCTCTATTTTGTCGGACAACTCAATTTGCTTCTTATTTAACACATTTTCTTTTAATTCAAATAAAAAATTCGAGTGTTGTAATCACAAAAGAGAACCCGCTCAGAACGACAGGTTTAAATACTCGCAGTGCGGAAAAGCGCCCTTCCCATATTCTAAAAATTTTACAGCGTGGTAGACTCGTTAAAAAGAAGCGATCCAGACCGTTTTCATGACTTTTGTAATCAGTTTGAAAAAAGGTCGCTGGCTTGGGGACTATATGATTAAATAAAGAATAAATAAAATGCATTTGACTACAACGTGCAAAGCATTCTTGAAAAAAAAAACGTATGTCATTCGTTAATTTTCCAATTTGGAAATTTTTTGTAAATGCTTTGTTTTATTTACCTGCATTCAGAATAACTAAGTTGAGATCAAGGATTTTTTACTTGTATAAAATCCTTGAGTGGCATATCGGATAAATAAAACACGGCTAAAATCAAAGGTTTAGGTAGGTAATTTCTATATATTTTATTGGCTACACTGGTTATTAGGGCTGGAAAGAACGTCGTATAGGCATGCGCTCAAAAAAAAATAAAGCAACGCGACGCCATTTGCAAAACTGCGCGTGGTTTACGTGTGTGGAAAGTTTTTGTGTAGTACTTAAGTTTTTTAAAGAGATAAAAACTATTTATAGTGAAAATGAGTTCTACAATAGATCCTGCAAAGTTAAAAGTTGTGGATTTAAGGTCTGAGCTTTCGGCACGTGGATTAGATACCAAAGGAAATAAAGCGGCTTTGGTAAAACGTTTAAAAGATGCGTTGGAACAAGAATTAAAACAAGGTTTGTGATATATCCCGTAATATTAAATATGCACTTTCAAGAGAGAGATTGTGTTGGACAAAAAGTGTCACAAACGTAAACTTTGTCCAGTTAATTTTGTGTACTTAGTTGTTTCATATTGTTTTGGAATTTAATTTGCTTTCAATATAATTGTTATTTAAAAATTAATAAAACTTAAATTATGTTTTAATTGAAGTAGTTTTGGCGGGAAATTTAACTTTTACATTTTAGATATACCTGACACTTCCATCGCAGATACATCCACGGAAGATCTAGATACCTCACAGTGTGAAGAACGATCTCAAGAATCACCTGAGAAAGAGAGTACTATAGCATCTGCCTCAGAAACTATAGAGGTACTATATAGTCCAATAATAACCTTATAATCATGGATAAATGCAAGTAATTAATGTACAAGAAATTACAAAAAGTTATTTATTGGAGAGCATCACTATAACGTAGTATACAGCATGACTTATATCTGAAAGTTCACAAAGTTTTAAACATTACATAAAAATTACAGTACATCCGCAACAAAATTATATTTTGTATTTTTTCATATAATTTATGATGCAACTTAACATTTTCAACTAAAAATTTAATTAGATGAAGGATATTAGTTAGTCTTTTAGTGTCGTGAGCTCCATAAGAAAAACTGTAATATAGATGTAACCAGGATGTACAGTAATTAATCCCTCAAACATCACCAATAGATTCTAATTATTTTTCTGATATTTTTGCTTTGTTATACAAGTTTTAAAATAATTCAAAAAAATTCCTAAAAAGTATCAAATGAAGCCAAACAATATTCGATGCCAAAACTCGACACATACAAAGATGTTGAACCTTACAGACAAGATTGTTAACTGTTGATATTGCTTGAAACAGCTTCTCTATGGGCACATGCCCGACTATCAATGTATTTGATAGCTTAGTACCTTTATAATAATGTAAAAATACGAAAGCTAATAAAATAATATTTTCTTATCTATTTCGGAAACTCGTTAAACAATTTCTAACTAATTTGATATGGAGAACAGACTTCCATCATGAGGTACTATTTTATATAAAAAAAAAATAAATGGTGTGCAATGTTACTTCAATGTGAAGAAAAAATTACATATTTAAAATTTTGCATAGTTCCTGAAAAAAAAATCAATTTCTTCTATAGTAATCAGTTGTAGTAAACAGTCGAGTATTGGAGTTAACTAAATTTGACTTTTTTTGCCATTTTTATTAAATATTTTTTATGATTTAAACTGACTCATTTTTATTAAAAGGTCAGTGTTTTCTTAGATGTTGCCCTGTGAATGTGATTGAACCAACATTTACAAGTGTATATCTCGATAGGTAATAACTTTTGAATTGAGAAAAGTTGGCCTAAATAAAAAAATATACCTGTAAATTGCATTAATCCATCAGTAGGGCCTGTTTAAACAAGAAAAGTGTTGGGTAAATACAGTACTGGGTGTTTGATAAATGAATGAATTTATTTTAATATAGAATACATTACTAGTTTTTTTCTCTGACCAACTGTTAACAGAGTCCTAGCACTAAAAATGTATAGGAAATGTGGCAACATTGCCTACCCAACAAATAAATCACCCTTTGAGATTTCGGCAAACAGTGAGGCGAGAGACACTGGTTGGACTGTTTTGACGGAACTGTTTTACCTTAAAACATTGCACAATACTAAAACTTAAAAATTAGTTCTTAAAAAAGTATTTTCTTTTCAAAATTTAAACTAAATGTGAATTTAAAGAGGTGTCTATTACCTAATTACAATTAGTTTTATCTTTTTTTTTTTACCAGCACGTCAGAATAAAAGGTTATAGTAAATATTCAAAGTAGCTCCTTGAATTCAAATATTTCAGACTTGAAAAATGTCAGGATTGGTTCTTACTGTGTTTGCAGCTGTGAAATCCATTGTCTAATTTTAGTTTCATTTCAAATGACCCTGCATTCCTTACGTTTAAACCATGCTTCTTCCACTGATAAGATGTGTGAGAGAAAGTCTAGATGTCGTTCAGATTCTTTAGTGAACCATTCACAAATGTCCCGTCTAAAGGAAAACCTTCCACTGTTAGATTGGACAAGCTGTACATAATAATGGCTGTTTGCATAAAGTTTTATCGAGTTACCAGCGAGACTCCAATTCTAATGCTGTGAGTTGGATCTTTCTCAATGTTGTTCAATAATTTTTTTTCGGCCTACAAATTCGGATGTCTACATTGTCCACGATTTTCAAAACGTGGCTGTAGGCTTCCAGTGTCTTAATATCCATTGAGAAATTTCAGTAAAAGTCTTGCAATTTGGTAACTTTCTAGGTATTCAAAAAACTTCTTCTGGCAGCTACAGAGTTTTGTCTCAGTTCTTCGTAAATTTGTAACATATTACACAGTTCGCGATTACTAAAATAATCTATTTTGTATCTAGTACTTACAAAAACACTAAAAAATAAATTTAATAAAAATAAGCACTAAAAAAAAAACAGTTTTTATGGCACTGACAAGGTTTTCGATCTGCTACACACAATATTGATCACTAGGCTAGATTAGGTGGAGTTAAGGTTTATATCAAGTCAAGGAAGGTTCGCAAATTCGTGTGCTTGAATGCAATATATACTGAGAATGTTTTAGAATAGCTTGTAAGAAATTTTTTTAGTATTTACCTACCTAAAAAAACAAATACGTGACATTCTTCAATACAGTTGAAACAGTTGAAAAACATCAATGCTGATGCTGTTGACTTGCAACTATTTTTTATGTTCGTTTGGTTTCTTTAATCTTGTATAATCCAAATTTATTTATTGCTATAACTTTGTAATGATCGGTCAGAGAAAAAAAAATTGCAAGACTGCCATTTTAAACATACAGTTGACAGGTTTGGGGATTCTTATTTTAAACCCGATTAAACTTCTAGTATAACTTAACGTCATGGGTGCAAGAAGTGGGATGTCTCGTCTTAAATCTATGATTTCAATGTGTTTTATACTAAAATAGCGTCACTTATTTACTGGACACTGTATGTTGTTTGTAATTAGTTATATTTTTTTAGTTGGGAAAACCAAAATCAGAAACTGCTTCTGAACGATTAAGTGAAACGAACGATTCTAATTTAGAATCTTCTTCTAAATCGGCTGCTCCCGAAATCAAAGTAGATCATATTGAAGAACCTACATTTAAAATTGAAGCTATAACTCCTAAAGAAGTAAATCAAATGAAAATGGAAGAAAATGGAGAACATTCAGAACAGGTAATTTGTTAATTTAGTCTGCTAGGAGCATTGTAACTGATAAGTTAAATTGAAGTGAATTAAAATTAATTTGCGAAAGTTTTAGAATTCCAGGAAAATTACAAAATTACTCTAATTATATACGTATTTTGTTTCGTATTTGGCATTTACACTTTAATTTCCGAGACAATATTTGCCAGGACCATTAGAAGTACTTCAGTTTTGCTTTAAAGGCCTACGTATGATTTTCTTATCCATTCTGTAAAAATATTTTATGAAAATGAAAAGAATTTCAAAATAATTAATTATGGGTTTTTATTTCATATAATTTAATCTTAACCATAAAAAAGAAGTTGAGTTTTTTTTATGAGTGGATTTAATTTGTTGTATGAATGTATTATAAATTATAATTTTGTCTTTTTTCTTGATATATTTTGGAAGAGACGCTACAATATGTGTCAAATTATTGTTTATTGTATGCTTATTTAATTTAATACCTTGGTTAAACATACATTATTTGTTGCAGAAAGAAAATACAAAATTTGTATTATCTGATGAAATATCTGAAAAAGCTGAAAATCAAGAGTCCTCAGAAAGTAAAGAACAGGATGCTCCTAAATCAGATGATTTGGAACAGAAAGGGGAAAAACGCAGAAGAACAAGCAATTCTCCCGAAAGGTCCCAGCGCAGAAGAAGCAGATCTCCTATCAAAGAAGACGAACCTTTACTTGATAATAACAAAGTTCAGCTTAGTTGGTGTAAGTAGAACCTTGTAAACAATTTTAATTGCTTAAGTTTGGGAAAATGGTTCTTTTTTATTAGTTAACATCAGTTCTGGTGAATGGTATATTAGTTTTTGTAGTACAGTTTATGTAGGAAATAATATTTTCAAAGTCTTCTTTACTAGCACTGCATGCAGTTTCATTTACTTTATGTACATATTTACCTTAAAATATGTATTTTGTATTGTATATAAAAGTAGTCAATAAAAAGTTATTTTTCAGTATTGTTTTCTTTATTTTTTCCTTAGTATTTTTTAATGTGCACACGTAAATTTAAATATACGAGACTGGTTGGGAAATAGTCCAAGTGTTTTTTTTTTATTTCAGATGACTCCGACCTTCATCTTCAACTTGATAAAGAATCATTTTTATCCGCAAAGCCCTTAACCGAAGGGGCTTTTGGCTATGCATGGGCCGGAGTCAGAGCCACGCACGGTGTCTCCTCTGGAAAGGTACTATAATTGTATTTTCTATATCTATATTGTTTGATATAGCTCTCGTGATACACCCCGTAAACATTTACTTAAGAAATTTTTATGTGATAGTGGTCTTAAAATAAGTTCGAAACGAAACATCTCGTATTTAATTTACAAGTTAAAAAGTGAAGTAAAAAAGATACGTTTAAAGATATCAACCACACTGCCCTTGGCTGCGGATTTCCTCGTTTAAAACTGTGGACGTTGTCGACAATTAGGACTGTTGTTCTGTATATCTAATGATACTTGTAAACGAATTCATTGGATATTTAAAAAAAAGGAAATATACACGGTGTTACAAATTCGCTTCTCACTACAGGGATCTGGGAAACTGTAAGAGATATGCAGTAGTTTAAATGGGGGTAAAGTTGTATAATCAGGGGACCAACATTATGTCTCTAAAAAAACAAGGCTAACATGATTAGTTTTCGAAATGTTTGAAAAAAAAAACGAAATTTTGGAAATCTTTTTTTGTTTCATTTCAGCCTTGTTTGAGGTGATATTGAAAAAAGAAGAATGTTTTCTCATGGCAACTTTTTGCCCTCTTTCGAATGGCATAATCAATTTTTATGTGTAACGTTTCGTCTCTCCAGGACCATAATCAACTTCATTTTTTTAAATATGACCCTGGAAATTTTATTACATTTTTTGCAAGCCTTCGCGACTTCCAATACTGTACTGCCTCAGCCCGAACAAGATCAGAATTTCATCTCAAAAAATTCATCTTCAATGTATTTGTTCCAAATTTATCTAATTTTTTATTTAGATTTATGTTTATGGAATTATCGTACACTCAAAGTGTCGTTAGACCCTATGAACTCCACCTAGTTATTTAAACTATTGCCATCACACTTTACAATAAAACATTATTAGAGTTTTAATCTCCATCACCTGGTCATACATAATTCGATAAGTTGTTGGCGTCATAATTAAAACATTAAAATTTTAATTTCATTGTGACAAATTAATTCTTAAAAACGCATATGAACAACCAAATCTCCAAATGAATATTATACTTTAAAAAATTATAGTAAATGTTCAGAAACGTTTCTGTTTGGGTAAATGTTGAAAATGAAGAAAAGCTTAATATGATCGGAATTTATTATACCTGTAAACGTAAGTGTGAAAGAGCGTGTACTTTTATGAATATCCTGAAAAAAATTGAATCGAAATTTGCTTGAATTTTGAGCACTCCAGCATCCTAGAAATAACTATGAGCACGGGATTAAAACTGTAATAATGTTTTATTGTAACAGGTGATGGTAAAAGTTTATTTAAATAACTAGGTGGATTTTACAGAGTCTAACGATACTGAGAGTGTACGATTCAATAAACAGAAAAATCTGAAAAAAAAAAAAAATTAGATAAATTTAAGACGAATACATTAAAGATGAATTTTTCGAGACAAAACGTCTGAATTTGGTTCGAGTTGAGGCAGAGCAGTATTGGGGGTCATGAAGGCTAGCAAAAAATGTAATAAAATAAAAAAAAATTAAGTTGATGATGGTCCTGGAAAGACAAAACGTTACATATAAAAAATGATTATGCCATTCAATAGAGGGCAAAAAGTTGCCATGAGAAAGTATTCTTTTTTTTTTCAATACCACCTCAAACAAGGCTGAAATGAACCAAAAACGGATTTTCAAAATTACTTTTTTTTTCAAATATTTCGAAAATAATCATGTTAGTCTTGATTTTTTAGAGGCATAATGTTGGTCCCGTGATTGTGCAACTTTGCCTCCATTTAAGCTATTTCGTACCTCTTACCGTTTCCGAGATCCCTGTAGTGAGAAGTGAATTTGTAACAGCCTGTATAATATAAAAGTACTATTACTATAAAGCATATAAAATATAAAATGATATTTGTAACGGTTCAATATTATTTGTCTTGTATTAAATGATATGCCGTTCTCTATGCACATCGATAGGATCTATAATCGTCTATAGACAGTTACACTGAACATCGCTCTATATTCTATCTCTGTATATTGCACTTAATAGGGAATAGGGAAATGCTTTTTTAATGGGTATAAATGGACGTATGTAGTACTTGATTTAGCCGTCGTTAGAAACGCCATTGCATAAGCATACACGAGAAATCAAATTCCATGACTATAATAAATTTATAAATTAAAAAAATACAACCGGGACGTTTTAAAATGTAATAATTAAAATGGATCAAAGCGCCAGTTGTAGGAAACCGTCTGCAGCTCATAAAAATAATAGATGTTATGTTTTATTTTTTTTTTTTCTATATTTTCTATATCTTGCTGCTTCTAGACAGATACGCCTATGGATTTTCGATCCCTGCATGCTTCATCTCCCTTACTAGAGCTATACTCCGCGGTCGAAATTATAGAGAGTGACTCATCGCTAGCTTTTGGACTGGTAAGGGGATGAAGCATGCCGGGAACGAAAATCCATTGGCGTGTCTGCGTAAAAGGCAACAAGATATAGAAAATATTAAAAAAATTTAATAAAACATAACATCTAATATTTTTTACAGTTTGCTATAACCGGCACTTTGATCCATTTTAATTATTATAGCATTTTAAAACGTCCCAGTTGTGTTTTTTTAATTTATAAATTTATTATAGCCATGGAATTAAACCCCTCATCTACGCTTATGCTATGACGTTTCTCAGGACGGTTAAATCAAGTCCGTTTACACCCAACTAAAAAAGCATTTCCCTATTCCCTACCAAGTGCAAAAGACAGAGATAGAATATAGATTGACGTTCAGTGTAACTCTGTCTATAAACGATGATACATTCTATCGATGTGCGTAGCGAGCGGCACAAACATAAATAATATTGAACCGTATAAAAATCATTTTATATTTTATACGCATTATGGTAATAGTGTTTTTATATTATGTCTGAGTCACTCTCTACAATTTCAACCGTGGAGTATAATGATGAATCACTATAATTTCGACTGCAAAGTATAGTTGAGAATAATGAAATTATTTTAGTTTCTTCATATAGACAAATGACAGCATCATTCATATAAATATCGATTAATTGTTAAAAAAATCTTTGTGTCACTCTTTGTGACAATGAAATTGTCGAAAATATCTCGTTTTTTTACCAAAATTTAGTTCAGTAAAGAAAGACACATAAAACTGAATTAACTACTTACCCCAGCTTAATGTTCGGGCTTCATTTTCAAAATGGCATCCAAAGTTCGCAAAAAACAGTTCTGTTTTTTTTTTTTTAAAACATTTTAGAAACAAATTTTTTAGACGAAAGTTGTGAACTTTTTATAACAAAAATTTTGAACCTAGCCCGATGTCAACTGATAAACAAATGTATTAGTTATTGCAAAAAAAACGGCTAAAAATCACATTTTTTTTAAAAAAAACATCTTTAAAACAAAATGATTTTTTTTTTACAAAACTTTCAGAATATGTAGTCCTTGGCCAGTAGAATAAGTGCGTTTTTGAAAAATTGCAAAATATTTGATAGTTATTGAAAATTGATTTTTTCAGAAAAAGTACATTTTTCCAAGCTTCAATAAATCATAGAATAATGAACTTACATGACCCATCTTGGGCTTAAAATTTTCTCTTGTACTTTCCTGTACAAATTGTGCCTGTAACTAAAATTAATTCAATAAATTAAATAATTTTTTACTGAAAGGAATTTAATAAAAAAAATAGATATTTTTTTTCCATATTCAAATGTTGATTTATATGATTAAGACCCCGCCAAACGTGAATCCGCGGGTCAGAATTGATGGTTCTTTTTCTATCCTAAAAGAAACGGGTAAATTATGGTCAGATGTTAGGAATTTTAAAAAAATAATAGATTCGCGTCAAATTTTGTATACGGGGGTATTCGGGGTCGCTGATCACGGATCCGAGATCAATTTTGCAAAATTCAAGATGACGGATCCAAGATGGACGAACAAATTTTCAAAAAATAACACATTTGCGCCAAATTTGGTATACGGGGGTTTTTGGGGTCACGAATCCGAGATCAGATTTACACAATTCGTTTCTAAAAGTTTACTTGTAGAAGATTAAAACATGATTGGGTACTCGGGATATAAAGTAAACAATAATAATTCCGCAATTCTGACCTCGAATTCGCAATTAGCGGCCCCGAAAACCTCCGTATACCAAATTTGACACGAATGTGATATTTTTTGAAAATTGGGTCGGCCATCTTGGATCCGCCATCTTGAATTTTGCAAAACTGACCTCGTATCCATGATCAGCGACCCCGAAAACTCCCGTATACCAAATGTGGCGCGAATGGGTTATTTTTTGAAAATTAGTTCGGCCATCTTGGGTCCGCCATTTTGAGTTTTGTACAATTGACCTGGGATCCGTGATCAGCGACCCCGAAAACCCCCGCATACCAAATTTGGTGCGAATCTGTTATTTTTTGAAAATACGTGATATCTAACCTTAATTGACCCGTTTTTTTTAAAGTTAGAAAAAGAACCATCAATTTTGACCGTAGATTCACATTCGGCGGGGTTTTAAATTAAAAGTTATTTTTCCTAGCACTTTCGTGAATTTTTGCTATTTTTGAACTGTTTTCTGTGGATAGGAAATTCCTGTGATGTGATAGCTCAATTCTGACACCGGATTCGTGATCAGGAGGCAAAAATACTACGGATGACATATGTCACATGAAAAGTACAGACAACTTTTTTTTTGTGTGGTTGTGTAATTTAGTTTTTATATGAATTAAAGAAAATATGTGACCAAATAGAAAAGTATTTTTTTTAGATATCAAAAAGTGCTACGAAGAGATATTAATTCCAAGTTGTAACTAATTAATTAAAATGTATTGATCTTCATTCAAGATTTCCGGGAAATCATAGTCATCGTAACAATAACATATTTCCTATTCTATAGCGAGTATTACGTGAATATACTGTGCCTATGAAATCTTATTATTGTAGAGAAAATTGAAAGAAACACAAACAGAACTAATGCTGTAATATTAGTAACTTAAAAGGAAAAATCACATCCCAGATTTGGAGATACGGGAGAGACTACTACAGAGCAAATTTTTGGGGTGGATCACAAGACAATTGTCAGATTAAATGTCTAGAAAAACATTCTGGCACATTAAAATGCATTGAGTAATCTGATCCAATTTAAAAATCAGACTAATTTAATAAGCATATTTTTTATCACATTCGGTTCAGAGTGGTTTTTATAATTCTTATAAATAGCACTACACATAATTTTAAAATTCATTGATAGAATTAATCCTATAAATTATATTTTTTTTATAGGTGTGTTATGAGGTCAAACTGACAGAGCAGATAAAATGGGAAGATTTTTCAAAATACTATGAACAGCGGGGAGGTAGAGACCGATATAGAACAGATCATAGAAAGAATCAGAAGAGGGATAAAGATAAGAAAGATGTGGAAAAGAAATCTGAGGAAAAATTAAAATCTGAAAATGGGCAAGTCAAAGATGAAAAGTCTACAGAAAAAGAGGAAAAATGTTTAGAGACGGATGAAAAATCTACTGAAAAAAATGAGCCTACTGAAGAGAAGGAAAATTTATCCGACAAGGAGGACCAAACAGAGAACATCGCTGAAAAAGTAGAGGATGCTTCAACAGAAACGGTAGAAAAATCTAAAGACGTAGAGCACAAAACTGAAAAAACTGATGACAAAGAAATGGAAGTTGATACTCCTGAAGAAAACAAAGATCTAAAAGAAGAGCAAATGGATACTACAGAAAGCAAAACAGAAACTCAACCTGAACCTCTTCCCACTCATTTGTTTAGAGTAGGGTGGTCACTTGTCACTTCAAGTTTGCAGCTTGGAGAAGAAAAATTTTCATATGGTTACGAATCCACTGGAAAATTTGTTACAGATAAACAATTTACGGATTATGGAATTACATTTGAAGCTGGAGATGTTATAGGTTCTTTTTTGGTGAGTACAATATTTATTTCTACTTTCAATGAAATTTAAAATATTTGAACTTACAAGGTAGTACATGAAAAAGAAACATGAGTAAGGGAACCCAATAAATGAACAAAATTATAAAATACCGTGTAAAAAATATATACAGGGTCATTCAGTCATAATGTCATTAATTTTAAGGGAAGTTAGGGAAAAATGAGTAGATTACGTATGAGATTGAAAAAATTTTAAAATGCATATTTACGCTGAAAAAAAATTTTAAATCATCGTTTAAACCCCTCTTCGAACCATTCCTGCCCGCTGACCCACAAAGGTTTATCAAGAGGGAATCTTGACAACATACTATTCGGTCACTAACCTAGCTTTTACTGCTTTTTTAATCCATAGTGAACGATAAGGAATTAATAAGATATTTTTTTACATTTTAAATATTAACAAGTATTATTTATTTGTTAATAAAAACAAATATATAATTTTTAATATTAACGTTTTCATTATGTTTTGTAACTGAATCTGAGTTTTTGGTATTATGTTCAATTAATCATTATTCAGTTTGGTACTTATACCTAGTGACTTATTGCTTTTCAAATAGTAGTATGGCACCTACCTATTTAAAATGCCAGTACGGCTAAAATAACACTCATTCGTCTCTATCACTTTGTTAATAAATTTGGGATCCGCTGTACTTTGATTTTAAAATCAATTGCAAAATTCAACACAATTAGGGAAATCAGCTGTTTCGCTTCAACATTCGAATAATCTGTAGTTCACCGGCGCATTCCATGTCAGAAGATGTGTTGCAAAGTAGGGCGCCGAATTAACAGGAGTTAAGGGGTAAAATTAATGACATTATGACTAAATCACCCAGTATATTTGACAAAAAATATATACTTTATTTAGAAAAATATCTTGTTAAAATTTTGTGCAAGTTATTTCCTACTGGATTTTTTAACGCCGTGTGCAATGTAAAGGAAAAAGAAAATATCTGTTTCAAGGTTCGGGACATGATTTTTTAAATGCAGGTATTGGATAATAAACAGGAATAATAAAAGTACATATTGTAACGAACAGGGTATCCCAGAAAGTTGACACACTGAGATATAGATCTTTGTATATGGGGCGTTCTACGCCAAATCGAACGGTTTAAAAAATTTTGAATTTTAATTTCCTTAATTTTTTGATATTTTATAGTACCCCTCAAAAAAGCCTTTCTGGTAAATTTTGAGCTTTTTCTGATTACTTGTTCAAAAGATATCAAATTTTCAAAAAAAATCACCCTTTTTTTAGTTTTTTTTTTGTTCATAACTTTCTTAATAATGGTCCAAGTTAAAGTTTTTTTTTTTAATCTTTCAATGGCCTTTTCAGAAAAAAATACAAGAAAAATATTCAGTGTTTTTGATTAAGATTTTTTTGAGTTTGAAATTTTAAATCGTGTTTTTGAAAATGAGTGTATCTTTTGATTTTTTTGAAAAATTTTTATTTCAACTACTACTATTCTTTTAATAACTTTTAAGACTGGTCCGATCATGGGTCCTTCATAATTACTATTTTTTTTTTAATTTTTGAAAATTTTCTCTAAATCATAAGTACCGATTTTTGTCACTGTGTTCTGTTACTTCTTTTAAATTAATTTTAATACGTTTTAATTGTTAATATGTGTTTAAAATCAATAAGTAAACGTTAAGTTTATTTATTAGCAATTATAACAAACGTTTTTATTTAACATAGTTTAATGTAGATGGTAATGATTTTAAGGATCCTATTGTTTTTCTACATGATGAGCACAAATAATCAAAATGGTACAAATTCCATAAATTCTGAAATCTGGAGGCAAGTGTTAATCCCTTTCTTGCATCGTGGTTTTCCAATTTCAATGGATTGCAACATCTATTAGCCGAGATTTAGACTTCATATTAAGAATTTATTATTGAGTTCCAAATAAAAACACACAAAACTAACTGAATTGAGCTTCCAATAGTGAATTATGTAGCAGAGGTTATGATACAAATAAACAAACTACCTAACTGTCGGTATAAAGAAACAATCAGCAGCGCCACCACGTGAGAAAGTCTTTCATTAAGATGTGCGACTCTTTTTAAATTGAATAGAAATTCATAAAGATTATTTAAATGAAAATAAAATACTTTGCAACAAAGAATAGAATTGATAAAATAATTTTTAAACAATTTTTAAAAGAACATGAAAATAAATAAAAACATTTGTTATAATTGTTTATAAATAGACTTAACTTTTACTTATTGATTTTAAACACTTATTAACAATTAATAAATATTAAAGAGTATACAGTGACAAAAATCGGTACTTATAATGATTTATAGAGAAAAAGATTTTTTCAAATTTTCAAAAATCAAAAAGGAAATAGTAATTATGGAGGGTCCACGACCGGACCGGTCTTAAAAGTTGTTGAAAGAATAGTAGTTTGAAATTAAAAATTTTCAAAAAAATCGAAAGGTACACTCACTTTCAAAAACACTGATTTTTTTGTATTTTTTTCTGTGGAGGCCATCTAAAAACAAAGATTTAAAAAAAAAATAATTTAGACCATTATTAAGAACGTTATGAACAAAAAACCAAAAAAGTGGTATCTTTTGAACAAGTAATCAAAAAAATGTCAAAATTTACCAGAAAGCCTTTTTTGAGGGGTACTGTAAAATATCAAAAATCTGAATTTTTCAAACTCCGATTTGGCGTGGAACGCTCCATATATTACCATGAAACAATATTTTTTGTGACACAAAAACTGATTTATTTGGAGATTGCTTATTTGGTGCATATCTTTATTTCTTTTAGTGTAACATATTTCTTATATATGTAAGAAAATGACATACAGGATGTTATTTTTTTAGGCGCTCTACTCCTTTGAGCACTTCATAACTTTTTCTTCATATTTACCTGTATAAAATATTTTTTTTGTCTCGTGGAATTTTGATATCAGCTATGAATTTAAAATAAAAAGACATTTTCGATATATGTATGTAATGAAAAACAAGGTGTTACCGTATTTTATTTATAAATTTGGACCAGTGATTCTACACATAAAAATAAGAAAAAAAAGTTATCTGGATATAGTTTCTAAAATGCCTCCGGAGGGCACCAAGGCTATTTAAACATTTTCCCAAATGAAGATTTTCTTTTATATCCTTAGAATGTCTGTAGTATCCTTATGAAGCAGTTTAGGAACTAAGTTTATATAAAGGTTTCCCTTGTTTATTGGAAATCTGTAGCACATACAGAGCCTTCATAAACGTTTATAAGCCACTTGACCAGTAATTTTGTTTAGAACAGTAAATTTAGTACGTTCTTGTCGGCAATTAATTTTCGGTAAAATTAAAAATGATTGAAACAATAAGAAGGAGGTTGCAGTAAAACTTAAAATTTTTTTTCTTCACCAGCTGGTGCTTGATGCAATGTTTCATTCAAATAACTGGCGATCGCATTATTTTCAGCGTAGATATAACGGTTTGTCATAGTTTATTGTAAACAAATCATTAACATTGGTAACGCTAAGATTTAAAGTGGACACTACCAGCCATGCAGTGTTGGGTGCCTAAGCTCGGTAGTTACGTTGCTTGTAAATTAGATAGAATGGGTATATAAAAAAATATGTGGCGGTTAGTGATATTACACTCAAATAAATAAAGAAACATACCAAATAAAAAATCTTTGTTTAAAACAGTTTTGGAGTAATATAAAAAAAATATTATTTGGTACTACAGTCAGCAGTCTGTTCGGTAGGCGATGACTTTTGCATATACTACAACTGTGAATCAATTTTGAGGGATTTTTTTTGTAAATTCATGTCCTTATTGTGAAAAATTGTGTACATCATTAATTTTTAAAGTATTGTCCATCGCTAGTTTACATCTTTCTGGCAGTATACGGTTTCCACGTTGAAAGAACATCTCATCTTTTGATGCTATCCACCGATCGAACCTATTTTTCCTATTTCGTAAGATTGGAAGTGCTGCTTAGCCAGGCCGCATTCCATTGATTGGAAGAAATAGTAATCCAATGGAGCAATATCTGGTGAATATTGCGAGTGGGGTAAAACATCCCATTTCATTGTTTCTAAGTATTTTTTGACTTAATGAGCAACATGTGGTTGAGCGTGTCATGTTGAGAAATTACTTTATCGAATTGCGGCCATTTTTTCCTTCATTGCAAGGCTCAAACGCATCAATTGTGTTTGGTAGCGTTCACCAGTGATGGTTTCATTCGGTTGAAGCAGCTCACGGTAGTACAAAACACCAAGCTGGTCTGACCAAATACAGAGCATGAGCTTCGAACCATGAATATTGATGTTGATGCATGACTAGGCAAACCACAAATTTTTCTATGCTTTGGATTACCCTAGCGTATCCATTTCTCGTCACTAGTGATGATACGATTCAAAACCTCTCTTTTTTCGGTTGTTCACAGGTGAAAAATCACCGTTCAACATCTCTGCTTCAATTCATATGGCACTCAATTTCCTTGCTTTTGAATCATACAGAGTACATATAAACGTTTTGAAACTGTTGTGCGATCAACATTTAACGATTCAACAAGTTCATCTTGCGGTTTAACATCCATCTTGGTCGAGTAATGCTTCCAATTCCTCATCTTCGAACTTTTTCGATTATCCAGGGTGTTCTTTGTCCACTGTATCCAAATCAACACTTCTAAACGTCAAAACCAAAACTCACATGTTTATCGATGGAGCTTGTTCAACGTAAGTTTCCAACAGCACTCGATGACTTTCGGCAGCACTTTTCTTTGAATTAAACAGGAAAAGTAAGTCTTCCCACAAATGGTGTTTTGTTGATTTGTAATGGACATCTTCAGAGTTGAGAAAAAATATGTTGATTACACTTCCGCAAAATGACAGATAAATATAATAATAAAAAGTAAAGCCAAATGACAGATCTTTGATGTGAATGTAGTTACAGAAATGTCTGATGCAATATAGCATAAGTTACGCCATCTATTGTAAATCTCAAAATTAATTTGTAGTCCTAGTTGGACTACTCTTACATCACCTCATTTTGATCCTAGGAGTTTGCCCTCGAATGGTGTCCCAACCTTTCTGGGATACCCTATACTGTACATGTATATTAAACGTATAGTAACTAATCAGAATTTTTATGGAAGTTTATATATTTTTTCTTTTCAGAACATCGATGCAGAAAATGTAACTATTACTTACACTGTTAACGGGCAAATTCAACCTATTGCCACAACTATCCCAAAAACGGATTTTCCTGATGAAGATTTCAGCCTATTTCCACACGTTCTTTCAAGGAATTATGCTTTTGAATTCAATCTAGGCGAAAGAGAAGAGCCATGGTTTGCCATACCGTCTGAATTGGAAGGTTATATATTTTTAAGCAAAATCGAAGATAAAGTTTCTGGACCTGTAAGACCGGAAAGTCGGGGAGAGTGCGAGGTATTAAAAAATCATTTTCATAGAAAAAGTTGATACTATAAAACTCTCTTAGGTTATATTAATGTGCGGACTACCTGCTTCTGGAAAATCACATTGGGTTAAGGAGCATGTTACGTCGAATCTTGATAAGAAGTTTACTGTTCTTGGAAATTCCAATTTGTTGGAAAAAATGACGGTAATTATTTACAATAATTATTAAATTGTGGGTGTTGCAATATTCCATTGCTATGTTCATATTTTGGTGGACCATAAACTCTTCATTTTTAAGATACAGAAGATAATTTTTTTATTTTTTCTGTTGCTCTCACTTGTTTTACATGTTTTTTAAAACAATCCTGTCCAATTTGGTAGATCTAATACATGAGATACAGTGTCTTCATAAATGTCCGAGTCCCATGTGACCAGATTTGTGTTGGCTCTCAGTAAATTTGATTTTCTTAAGTTGGCATTTAAAAAATTACCAAGGAAATATTACCTTTGCGAAAATGTGCCATCAAAATAAATGCGTCTTGTTTCGATGTAAAAGGCATTTTTACAAAATCTACCAGAAATAAGAATGTAACAAATGAAACATAATAACATAACATAAATCTTAAAATATTCAATTAACTTATGCAAAAAACATCGTGAATTTTTGAAGTTCTGAAACTCGACACAAAGATTAATTTGTAGAAAAGCACAGAAATACTGGTAAACACTGCTAAATTGTATAAACAACAGACAGGAGAAATTATGAACGTCTCTGGATTGACATTTAATCTGAGGCCCTAACCAGTGATTTTTCCTTGGTAATTTTTGAAACACTAACTTAACACACTAAACAACAAACAACACTAAAAAAATCAAATTTACTGAGCGCCAAAACAAATTGGTCACGTGGGACTCAAAGACACTGTAGTTTCCTTGATTTTTTTCTGTTGTAATGACTCACTGTATCTTCTTTTGATCTTGTAAATTTTTTTGTATCTGGATGTCAATTTTTTTTGTGGTCTGTTAGTTTGAAATGAAACTAAATATTTTTTTAAAGTCTGATGACCTAACCCTTAGAAATGAAGTGTACGTGGACCTACATTCAAATATGTATACGATTTTCGTTCGTTAAATATTCCATCGCCCTGTATATAATTTTTTCTCGTTAATTTAAAGGTATCCGGTGAACCTTTGAAAAGAAAATTTAAAGGACGATGGAGTTCGCTCATGGACAAACTTCAAAAAAGTTTAAATAAGTTGATAACAATAGCCGCCCTCCGCAGAAGAAACTACATTATAGATCAGGTACGTAAACGCACAATTGAAATTCCACCTCGTAAAAAAGGGAAAGCGAGTAAATTATTACTTTATTTTAATATATCTGGTCGTATGTTAGAAAAACCTTGTAATTTAAACATTATGGAAACGTAAGTACACCCTTAATAAGTGACTGAAATTTTTATGAAACGTAAGTATTTTCAACAGGTAAAGGCAGATTTCGTTGTGATCTTCTAAAAAGGTAATCGTTCTTGTTTTATTGGTTCTTTTTCAGTGGAACATCGGTTAGCTATTAAGTTCCAAAAGGTTAGTACTTCTCCAGTAGAAGATCTCGTCAGTTCTTCTTTTATTTGTGTTGAAAGCCGTTGCCTTCTGTTTGGGCATTTAGTTTTGATGAGTTTTGTGCTATACTGATGCATTGCGGGTATCACGGAAGGAAACAATTTGAAAAAGAGAGCATTAAAAGCTCCAAACATGCTATATATACGTGGAAACATTCAGTGGGAAGAAAAATATGGTATTTTCTCTTTTAATAGAACCTTTATATTTTTCGGCCAGATTCTTGTAAAACAATTTTCTGAGATAAAAAAGGATGACTTACAGAAAAATAGCTCCGTTTGTCTGTAAGAGGGGTTGTAATATCGATAACAATTGTGCAGAAGTATTGGACAAAGTGAAACAAAAAACATCCAACAGGTTTTAATTGGCAGTGTTGCTAGAAACAACTACTCCAAGGGCTATATGTCCCTACCGGCATTGAATTATACTCGCAACACCTAGTGCAACAGCTAGGGTCGTTCGTCAGTTTAACCCACCAGGCACAGACCGGTTTCGGACTTATTAGTCCTCGTCAGTGTGTCATAGGTGAGACAACCGAGGAAGAAACCAGCTGTTTTGCGTCGTATCGGCACGACAAGGAAATACATTGTATGCGGGAGCGCAAATTAAACTGACGTACGACCCTAGCTGTTGCACTAGGTGTTGCGAGTATAATTCAATGCCGGTAGGGGCATATAGCCCTCCGAGTAGTTGCTTCTCACAACACTGACAATTAAAACATTGTTTTCACCCTCTGTGGGTGGCAGTCGTGCAACAAGTACCTGCAATATAGCAGGTCGCTTCCTACTGTAGCCATTTGTGTGTCAGCACAACAGATGGAGCCATTTGCGCTCCCGCGTACAGTCCAACAGGTTTACTTACTGTGTGCAAGAAAATTACTACGCCAAGTGGATAAATAAATAAAAAAATTTTTTAATTTTTTCACAAGTGGAAAAACACCCAAAAAAAATAAAGAGAAAAAACAGTCCTACAAGAATCTAGCCTAACAACATAAGGGTTTTATTTAAAAAAAATTTATATCATCGCCCATAAACATTTGAACGTGGCAGAGGTGAAGAAGGAAAAAGAGTACATAAAGTGCAAAACCAACCTGACTGAAAATATGTCGTTAAATTTCACCATTTCTGAAATAAAAAATTTATAAGATATTTTTGTTCAAAACAGTATACATTTATTATGCAAAAATATAACTAGCCCGTAGGACATTTTAGTATAGGTCATCATTAAAGGTATGTTATAGTATATAAGCGTTGGATCCCGAACAATTATCATTTATGAATTGCAGAACTCTAATGCCACACTTGCATAGAGGAACTTATGTCAAATTTTAAAAGGTTTTTTTCTCATTGTACGTCTTAAGATAACGTTAATATCATTATTGTCACATTTTCTAAATAAGATATTTTCCTTGGCAGTAAAATTGTGTTTTTAATACTTATTATATATTTTTAATTTGACTATACCTACACCTAAAAAATGGAAATATGCAGTGAATTTGCAATATATATAATATACCGCTCATGTCTATGGAACTTGGACCGTGCTGGGTGCGGTTTGAGCACCGCTGCGGCGCTTGGTACACTCCCCGCCGGCTGGTAAATATAACATATTTTGACACCATGTACCTTGGTTACACACTGTATATAAATGTTTAATAACATTTTCAGGGACATTAATATAAAAAAAAGTCGCATCCGCTTGCGACTCGAACGGCAGACCTTCAGCTTACGAACTCGACTACTCCGGCCTATTGGTGGGTTGAGCTGGTATGGGCTATTTGAAAGTTGCTATAATATTATTGAATAGGCAAAAGACACTGTGGCCCAATCGGCCGGGAAAACGCAACAAAAGACAAAGGAAGAGGGCCCCTAGGGCCGGTTTTTGGCCTAATTTATTTTTGGCTGAAAAAATCTGAAAAATTTTTTTTTTACCTACTAGCAATACTAAATCATTTCCATCCTAAACAGACCAACCTCACCCTCCTTTTCCCTCTGCCCCCTAAAATGCAGGGGAAACCATCGCTTATTAGAGATGTGAAATAGATTCAATTCCTATGAATATGAAGAGTTTTTTGGGTCTCAGAATTACGAAATTCAAAATGGCGGATCCAATATGGCAGACAAGAAAATTGAAATGTCTTTAAAATGCATGATTTTTTTTGTAATGGGGTTTTTTGGGTCTATGATTACGAATCTGGACTCTAAATCATGATTTTCAAAATGGCGGATCCAGTATGGCGGACAAGAAAATTAAAATGTCTTTAAAATGCATGAATTTTTGAGTAGTGTGTTTTTTTGGGTCTCTGATTACGAATCTGAAGGCAGAATTACGAAATTCAAAATGATGTATTCCATATGGCGGACAAAAAAATTGAAAAGATCTCCATAATCCTCAAATTTTTGTTTATAGAAACTTTCTTGGATCACTGATTACAATTATGAATTCAGAATCACAAAATTCAAAGTGGCTAATCAAATATGGACACACATATATGTATAATTATTGATTTTTTCTTTTTCGTTTTATTCAATGTAAATGTGTGTCATCTCATTTAAGGGGGGTGGAGGGGGAAAGGAGGGTGAGAGGGTTGGTCCGTTTAGGGTGGAAACAATTTAGTATTGCTAGTAGGTACTAAACACATTTTTTTTCAGCCAAAAATAAATTAGGCCAAAAACTGGCCTTAGGGGCCCTCCTTTGTTTTGACATCTTCACTGACGTTTAGGGTTACCTATAGCGTTTAATATATAATGATAGAGGTCATTGCAATATAAGGCAAATCGCCTAATTGTCGTTAATCTGCTTAGATAATTTAAGGACATTTATTCCAATCGTGACACTTCTGTTGCCCATGTTAAATGCTCATGTAGAAATTGAACAAACGAGTAGGTATATACAATAATGTATAATTGTACATATAAATATTCAACTTTTGAGAATAAATTCAGAAAGTTGGAAGAAAATTAAAATAAAACCACTTTTGTGTTCTTCAAAAGACATATAGGCGTTTAATAATAAGTACCGTAACAAAAGTTAGTGAGCAGTAACATTTAACAATATAAGCGATGTTCCCATTAGCCAACGGAACAAATTACAGTTTCTAAGAAAATATTTGATTAGTGATATATCAGTCAATAGAGATGGGTACAATACCCAACAATGTGGAACTGTACATACAAAAATAATTTAAAAGTGCTCATCTCTAGTTTTTAAACCAGCGAACCATCGTAAAGAGCAGATGTAACTTCGTGATGTTGATGCAACAATTTAGTTCGGCAGCTCTAGAGAGGCGGCCAAGGAGGTTTTTCTGATATGGAATTGTCAAACAAATATTCATAAAAAAAATTAATATAAGCTTATTAATATGAAGAAAATCCTCAAAAAAAATTATGACTAAGAGACGAGATATTAATAAAAAAAAGTTTCACGATTTATCAAACTGCTGTCGTTGACTAACTTAACCTCCATTATGCGTGATAGCGGCAACGCCGCGGCTCTCAATGTAGCGTATTATTTGAAATTCGCATGTGTGGCATATGATGTATATTTCAAGCTTAGGCATCCAAACCAACAGAATTATCAAACGTGAGCGACCGAACGCCGAGCCGAGCGCGCCAGCTAAGTGCAACGTTGCCAAATCTAAAGGCTTACTTCTTTAGTCACTAGCGAATCTACAGACACTCTCATTTGACATTAGACGTACCCAATAAACCTTAATAGAATGTGACTGGAGAAGAATGGATTTATTAATTGTGGAAATAACGTGAATATTGATGACTCCTGGACTTTGTTCAATATACTTATCAATAAAATTGTGGGAATGATCCTAAAATCAAGGAAAGGAGTATTAATTTATTAAAAAAAAACTAGAAATGAATTTCATCATCTATCTGTTGAAATGTGAGGGTAATTTGAAAAATTTTTGGCTCATTACAAAGCTGCTTCTATCTTATAACTAATCACAAAGTTTATATGTTTATTGTAAACCTCATTTGAACTTTTTAACCTCGGGAACAAATCTCAGGAAAAAGAAATCAGTTTTTATTGAAAATGGTCAATTGTGACGACTTTTTTATACAATTAGAAATAAAATGTTGCTTATATTAAAGAGATCTATGGTATGAATAATTTCGCTCTTATGGGATCTGAGATTATATCATTTTTGGCAAATAACATTTTTTTGAGTTAAGCTGGAGTCATATACGTCCATAAACATGCATCAGTTGGTTGAACGTCATCTGAAGTTGAATTTTCCCTCGAGTTAACAGAAATATTTGAATTCAGTTCCTCTGATGACTTACCACCATCGTAATTTAGACATGTACTTTTTTTTTTGTAGAGAAACCTAAAGCCGGGTAGTCATCTGTGCTCCGTATCTGTATTTGTATCATGTATTGCTCCGATACAGTATCGGTTCACAATGTGTACGCGAGGCGTGTGTCGTACTGCGATCATCTTTATCTGCAGTGTTCGAAGAACGTTCCTCGTAAAAACATGTCGTCTTCAGACGAATCTATTATGATAGCAAGTGCTACTTATACATAATATAGTGGAAAATTACAAACATACACGAAGATTTTGGAAACATCTTTTTTACGAAGAAAGAAATGACTCCTTTATTTTTAGATTTGAGGTTTCAATTAATCAGCGGCCTTTTCAAAAGTTTCACTAGAATGCATCCTTCAGATTTTGAATATTTAATCAATCTAGTAGTGGACTAAGAATTCAAAAAAAGGAGATTAAATTTAGGGAAGCTGTTTCAGTGCAGATTAGCTGTGACTTTGGCAAGATAAATACTTGTTTGGACGCATCGTACCAGAAGTTTGTTAAGCTCTCGTTGATGTATTAAAGGAAGATATAACATATTTGTTTACGCTTTGCAGCCATTGTAAGTGGACTTAGTACATCACTTATAATCACCCTGGCATCTTTTAAATGTTTTTTATAAAAATATTTTTCGGATCCCACAAAATTGGTGTATTTTTGTACTCTTCGATTAAATCTAAACACTTTTCTTCACTCCATTCCATGATTGTACCCAAAGTTTACAGAATCAATACTGCAACGGTGATTGGTATACTGACACTTACTAACTTGTGCTCCTACTAAGAACCGTCCACACTATTGCTCTGCTCCTCTTCGTGTTCTCGGTGTTTGCCGATAGATCGCCAAAATGGAGTGCAGCGTTTCTGCAAACACGAAGCGCAAGACGTACACACTATAAATTTATGTTACAATACGTGATACAGATACGGATACGGAGCACAGATGAGCTTAAAGAACGACCTTTAGCAGACAGCCATAATGCATACTGGACCGGGAAAAAATAATGTGCCGTTCTCTGACTCTCTACACACCTAGATAAAATTGAAACTAGAATTAATACTAAACTGACGGGGCAAAGCGACACCCACGAATATATTTTATAAATATCTAATAACTGGTAAATCACAGCCCTTATAGTCAATTAGTTAGTACAAAGTTTGACATGAATGCAAAAGGAACGTTTGCTACATGTATTCAAGGTACATTGAAGAGAACACTTTCCACACGTGCCACGGTTAGAGCGTTAAATAATATTTTTTTGGAGTTATCGAAATGAATAAGTTTGGGCTTGTTCAATTAAACTACAATTTGTTGCCTCAAGTTTATTCTCCGGACACAGATTGTCAAATTTCTTTTTGTTCCAAAACTAAAAAAAATAATTTTTGTCAGTTGGTGATTTTCGTCAGGTAAATAACTTTGGCAACAGTAAACCATATTTTGAAGACCACCATGGAAAGGATTTCCAGAACAACATAAACATGCTGGAACATTTATGGATGATGCATGTTCAGAAGGATTATATTGAAAAGTGAAAATAAATTAAAAAACTATTTTCATTGTTTCATAGCTATGCCGAAATTTTTTAAATTACTCTCATATAAGATATCGTTTCAAGAACTGTTGTAGGCATTCAATTTGAATAAAATGTCTATATTAAGCCTAAAGATGGATTAAGAAAGTGGTTTAGGTAGTTTGAATAAAATTTAATAGTAATGTGTAATATTTAGTAAAGCTGGAAGACTGATATTTATGGAAGAGAAAAAATATGGGTGTCTGAAAAGGTCATGTCAAAAATGAAGGGGTATACAGGGGAGCTCAAAATAGTTGTAGTACTTCATAAAAAATTTCTTCCTATTGACTTCGTTGTGGAGTTATTCGCCTTTAAAAAAAGAAATTTGAAAACAAATTCCAATTATAACTTCTAAGTCGTTACCTTGACAACAATGAAATTTGGGCAATTAAAGTAACTCATAGTAATGTTCATTTCCAAATTTAAATTGATATTCAATGTGCCTGGATTATACAGGAGCAGACGAAATTATCCATTTAAATTTATACGTCTGACAGCATTGTCAAATTCGGCACTTTTCTTTTATAGTTCGATTCCCTTCTCACCTTGCTAAAAAAAAGTTATACCATATATCAGTCGATATCTTGTACTATTTTTGAGAAAATTGAATTTTATTAAGAACATACATGTATTGTATCAAAAATTCAATATTAACATTTTTACAAAAATTAAGATGACTGTCAACAAGTATGTATAATTAGCAGTTAGATATTTGTCATGAATCATTTTGACACCATTTGTTAGTTCAATATCATGGAGGATTTTAGCTATGAGGAATTTGCAGATATTCATCTAATGTATGAAACTGCAGAATGTAATGCTTCTGAAGCTGTTCGGATTTACGGCAACCGCTTTCCGATTAGAATTTACATATTTGAAGTGACGAAAGCCCCCATGCTATTATTCAGACCAAACACCAACAAAAATTTATGATTAATGTATGGATGGGAATAATTGGAAACTACTTAGTGGGACCACATATCATTGATGACGCTTTAAATGGGGATAAATACCTACATTTACTGCAAGAACACCTTAACCTGTTATTGGAAGACGTCCCTTTAAATAGTTGAAATATAACATCTGGCTGCAGCACCCCATTTTAGCAGGGCAGTAAGGACTTATTTAAAAACCACATTTCCTGATCGATGGACCGGTCGAGGTGTTCCTTTTCCGTGGCTGCCTCGGTCTCCCGATCTTAATCCTCTCGATTTTTTTCTTAAAAGTCATTTATCAAACTCCTATAAGTAGTAGGGAAGAAATATTAAATCGTATAATTACACACGCCAATATCATTACAAATGATCACCTCAAATTATTTTGAGTACAGCAGAGGTGTTTGAGCAATTTCAGAAAATGCAATGAAGTTCAATGTGCACATATTGAACTTCTTACTTAACAATTCTCTTTTTTCTTTTAATTGTATAGAAACCAAGAAGATCTTACAAAAAGGTTAGTAGGTATAACATTTTTGATACAATAAATAATGTATTTTGTTAATAAAATTCGATTTTCTCAAAAACGGTACAAGATATCGACTGATATGCGGTAAATCTTTTTTTTAACAAAGTGAAAAAAGAATCGAACTATGAAAGAAAAATGTCAAATTTGGCAACACTGTCAAAGAAGTATAAATTTATATAGATAATTTCGTCTGCTCCTGTATAATCTAGGCATACTGAATATCAGTTTAAACTTGGAAATGAACATCACCATGAGTTACTTTAATTGACCAAATTTTATTGCTGTCGTGGTAACGACAGAAGTTATAATTGGAATTTGTTTTTCAAACTTCTTTCTTTGAAGGCGAAAAATTCCACAACAAAGCTTGATATGAAAAATTTTTTTATGAAGTACTACAATTATTTTGAGCTCCTTTGTACACCCCTTCATTTTTGACATGACCTTTCCGGACACCCTGTATATTGTTATTACAAAAGTTTGATGTGTAGATAAGGCAGAAAGATGGAGAGCCCATATCGTTGTTTATGGTTAAACTTTAACTTGGTTTGTTTAGTGTATTTGACATGTTGATATTGTTATCTAGGTCGCTACATTTAAAAAATATTTTACCTTCTCTTCTGAGCTGTGCCTATCAAATTATGAAATATTTTTTTTGATTTATGCTGTGGCGGAACAGTAGTAAAATGTGTTTGTGAAATGATTTTGTCGGACTGGAATTCCTATCGGAGTAAAAGTTTCAGTGAAGTATAATGCATAATGTTTCATGCAAGTTTAATGTATCAGAAAAGTTTAAAGCATACAAATTCTTTGATACAGCCATCATGCTAAGTATTTTTATATCGAGTGCGTTTGTATGTACTTGTAAATAGTCAATGACAATTTTCAGTATTTTGGAGAAATATGTGCCCAAGTGACCATTACCAAAGCCATCGGTTGTATCATCACATGCATTGCGTAAAAGAAGAAACAGAGTAATATACACTCGGATTTAAACGGGAAAAAAAATGTGGACAACCATAACCAAGACTACAGTTAGGAAAGCAAAATGTATTACACATTTCACTGATAAACGTATGTTTTTAAAACATTTTTCATTGGTTGAATTAGTGGTTGGCTCTTTTTTTTATTAAATACAAAATACAATATAAAAGTAATAAGCTACTTTGGAAGTCAGATAAATAGTATGCATTAATTATTCTAAAACAAAAATGAAAATTAAAGCAATTGAAAGTGCATCACAAAGTTTACATTACAATTTACAAAAATATGTGTATAATTGGCACAAAGTTGAAGGAGCTGTTGATAATGTTTCAATAAAACATGATTTTTTAGCACAATGACACTAAGTATGTTAAAATGGAAGCAGAAAGATTGTTCTCTATAGTATAATGGAAACTAATAATAAAAACATTAATATAACAAAGAAATATATACCTGCCAAGGTTAATATATTTGAATTACAAATCTCTCGCAATATGTGCAGCAGATAGAAAATAATTATAAGTAAAATTAAAAAATAAATAGTTTTTTTTTATAAGGCATAGAAGTGTGCTGCTTCGATACAATTGTCGCCTGTACTAGGTGTATTGGTGGTACTAGGATTAAAGAAAGAAGAATTTTTGCCAGTATCTCTGACAAACAAGTGCTACAAGAGACATCATTGCTTAAAATATGATACAATCAATCCGTATGACGAAAGGAAGATAAGGAATTATTACTGAAGTTCTGATAATTGGTATTGAATTTTTTGAGGGGAAATCAACCAGCGAACTCGTATATTCTCTTACAACGGTAAAGTAGAAATAAATTTGTATTTTTTTCTATCTGCTGCACATAGTGTAATTGTCGATTCAAAATGTTTATGAATTGAGAGCTTTATAAAACCTTTTTTAATTTGATGAAATAATTCATCAGAGAAAAAGATATTGAGAGCATTGTTATAATATTGAGCGTTGTGGCAGACAAACGTGTTCCCATCAGCCCAACGCCGTAAAATGCGGCCATTTGAGGGCTTCAAGAGACGTGCTGTGATAGTTGTAGTTGGAGATGAAGAACAAGCTAGACGTCAATCTTTGCAAGAAGCTCAGGACGGTAAAGATGTTCCCGATAGCACCATACTTGAAATGAAAGGTATATTTTTGTATTTACATTTACATAGATTTTAATATGTCCATTTTTATTTCTATTTTATTGCAGTTATGAAATAGTGGGTGGAAACACTATTTTTAATGTTAATTAATTGGCAATATCTTTAGAGAAGTCTAAAGAAATTGTTAATTTTTATTTTTATCAAACAACATTAAATATTATATGTAAAATAAGAAAATAGTAATTTAAATTTAAAAATAATATAAATATTCGTAATAGAAAATTTAGTTTTTCTAAAAATGAATTATATGAGTACAAGTTAATTAACTTTTGTAACAAGCACGGAAAAAATATTTATGAATGTATAACATTTAAATCTCATAAATCAATTTTGATTCAAAAGAAGCTTTAAAAAAATATAAATAAAAACCATTAATTTAATTTAATTATTAACTTTTGTTCATTTCATGTAATGAAAAAAACAAAAATCACTGAATATAAAGCTCCCTATTTTCTACATCATTTTTCAAAATAAAAAAAACCAGGGTTCGTAGTGGCCTGGAAAACCGGGAATACCGGGAAAAGTCAGGGAATTCATTATTCTTCATAAAAAACGGAATAGTCAGGGAATTTTAAAATTATTCATGAAAGTCAGGGAATTTGATGCTTGCAACTGGAAATTTTGTGAAAGCCGGCCCTGGGTTCTTGAAAGAGAAATTTATTTGTGGTTTTGAAACCTTTATAAGAGATTCTTTGAGTTTAAAAAAAATTGTGGAGTCCAGTCCAGAAAAAGTTTAATGCATAAACGCCAAATAGCATGTAAAAATGACTTGGATTTTTTTATAAGTCAGGGAAAACCTGGAAAAGTTGGGGAATTCTATATTACTTTTGAACTACGAACCCTGAAAAAGTAAGAATAAAAATTGTAGGAAACTCGAAAGATTTTTTTATAACCTAATCTGTTACAAAGACAATAAAACTGAACATTGATTTGAGGAGATATAGGATTAACATGTTTTTTTTAATCGAACATCTTATATATTTTTCCGTACTTGGATGAAATGGTTTCCTATGATTTCTATTGATATAAGTTTAGTTTTTTATTATCAGAGATAGCCCATTACCCATCAGACTATACAGGGTAGGAAAGTACTGATGGTCTATCTGAAGTTACGTGAGAGCGATAAAGTAAGACATAGAAATCCATTCGATAGAGAAGGATGGCTATAATGAAGGCGTCTCATAGTCACCGCCCGTTTCGCCCTTCCACAAATAAAATCCACTTCTTATTTGTGGAAGGGCGAAATGGGCGGTGACTATTAGACGCCTTCATTATAGCCATCTTTGTCTATCACATGGATTTCTATGGCTTACTTTATCGCTCTCACGTAACTTCTGATATACCATCGGTACTTTCCTACACTGTATATCACTAATAAGAAAACTTGTCATCTAAATATGTAAAAATATACAGGATTTTTCATAAAAAAACCATGTTGGGAGTGTATCTCTAACCCTAAGCTCAATTATTTAGACAACAGAAAATTTTTATATCACAAAATAAAAGAGAAAATAGGTGAAGCTATGATAATAATTAAATGACTAAAAAAACAAAACTATGAATGAAAAAATTATTTTTTTTATTTTCTTTGATAAAAATTTGGATTATAAAAAATTGAGGTGTTGCTATAGATTCATGGGGTCCGAATAAGATGATTTAGCTAAAGTTACTTCTTTAGTCGCTAGAGAACATTTTAGTAACATAAAAAAAATTTAGTTTTTTCCAAAAAAACTGTAAGGAGTTTACAAACTTGCAAATTATTTTTTAAGGATAAAGATAAAATGTAAAAAAAAAGGAAGTAAATACTGGCCTTACATAAAACTAAAAGGTAAAAAGGTCATGAAGCTTACTAGCAATTAGGCCATGCTTGGCCCTTTTTGCCTGCTAACTTACACTACCCTCCCCCTTAACAATCACAAACATCCATGGGTACGACTGGAAAATTCCTTCGAATTTTCCTGCCGCGTGCGGGATTCGAACCCACTACGGTTTTGCCGCACAGCCCTGGTGCGCCTCAGTAGGCAAGCCTTAGCCGCTTCGGCTACTGCCGCGCCTTACATAAAACTAACTTACTACTAGAATCAAAAAGGAGTGATATGTCATATTCTCATACGACATCACAGTGTCGCCATATTGTTTGTCAACACCTAAGCGTGGTTGTTGAATTAGAGAATCATGCACATTTACAAAAACATCCCACTGTTATCTAATAGTCTGTGGAGCAACTTCAATCCAATATGATAGTTTTTTTTTATCACATCACTGATAAATAGTCCTATAAAAAAACTGTACAGTGGCAGTTCAAACGTTAATTGAGAATTAATGTTGAAAATTAGTATAGACACAGCGTGAAGATTTTTAATAGTCCACTGATGCATATTGTGGAAATTAAAAATTATGTTGTGGGTAAATATAGCTGTTTGATAAAATTACAGCAGGAAAGCCTTCACCTTCAGTGTGCACAAAAAAAGGGATACAGCTGTTTGTTCCTCAGTGAGCCTCATACAACCCGGTTAGTCATACTGTACCTCCCTGACAATACATAAAGTCCTGACTGGCCTTCTTTGCATATTCAGGGCGGTTTTATTTGACCAGTACTGCATGCTGTTTAAGTGGAAATACTTTTGCTCTTAGTGCATAACAGTGAAAAATTCATGTACATTCGTATTGCTGCCAAATCATTTTGTCTACATTCACCATATATCAATAACATATTTACCAATTAATTATTGTAATTTTTCCAACGCCAAAAAAAAAAAATTAACAGGAATTTTACCCCCTCCCCCCCCAAAAAAAAACAAGTTTTAATAGGAATAGCATTTCTGTTGTGGAAACAAGTCGGCAGTGCATTCAGACTATTTATATTAGTATTTTGCCTTTTTTTTAAATGATATTGAATAATAAATTGCCAAGACCTATACTCCAATAAAAATAAATTTGCAAGTTTGTAAACATAATGTACACTATTTGAAGAAAAAAGTTTTGAAAACATGTTTTGTTATTCAAATCATTTTAGTATATTTTTCTTTCTAATAAGTGTAGATACCTTGATATTCTTTTTTTGTAATATTTAACAAGATACAGACCGTTTCCATCAAATGTTTTATACAATTTTATTTGTTTTTTTTATAAATAAGTTGAGCTTTTTTGAAGTAATCTACATAAACTTTATCAAGTTTTTATAAAAAAAAACTGATAAATATTTTCATTTATAAAAATTATTTTATGAACTTAAAAACAACATTTACTGTACTATACAGGGTAAGTCAGCGCTGTGGCAAAGTTAATTTATCGCTAGAATATAATTGAGTCAAAATATTTCAAAGTAGGTTCGGGTGGGGGGCTCAAGAAATGCACATTTTAAAAGTAATTTGACTTATACAGGGTGATTAGTTTTCAGGGGGCTGATCACAGTTGTATTTTTTTTAAATGGAACACCCTGTATTTGATGTGGATATTTATATTTTACATGGAATTATGCAACTTTTTCGTAATAGGTACTATATGCCAAAAATCAGTCGTTTCCGAGATATTAATATTTTTATATAAAAAGTGACATTTTTGGCGTTACATTTGATAGTGACTTATATACTCGTTTTTTGAGATACATTCTAAGCAATCGTCACACTTGTTGTACTAGGTTGACCGTAAATTCTGAAGTGGTCACTGTTTATAAATGTCATACAAAATTGTACCAAATGTTATCTTTTTCAAAGGCAAAAGTTTTGTTTTTTTTTAAATGACATTTACAAACAGTCACCACTTCAGAATTTACGGTCAACCTAGTACAAGTGTGACGATTGCTTAGATTATATCTCAAAAAACGAGTATATTAGTCTCGAACAAGTATAACGCCAAAAATGTCATTTTTTATATTAAAATATTAATATCTCAGAAACGGCTGATTTTTGGAACATAGTACCTATTACGAAAAAATTCATAATTCCATGCAAAATACAAATATCCACCCAAATACAGCATGTTCCATTAAAAAAAAATACAACTTTGGTCAGCCCTCCAAAAACGAATCACCTTGTATAAATCAAATTATTTTTAAATTTTGTGTATTTTCTGCCCCCCCCCACCCGAACCTATATTGAAATATTTTGCCTCAATTGTATTCTAGCGTTAAATCAATTTTGCCTCAACGTTGACTCACATAAAGTGTAGAAACAAAGCCAGTGTCAATTTGTCTAAATCTAAATGAATACCCTATGCATTTATAATATATCGTTTTAGAACGCTTTGTGGGTATGAGAGTAATATAATATTTGATGGATCTAGCTGTGATAATAGAGATGTGGCCAAGAGTGCCATAACTGTAACTTATGTGAATAGACTTTTAACGACCCTATCTCCCTTATTATTAGGAATAGATCTATTAAACTTTGTATTATGGAATCCTAAGAAAAGGCTCTAAATATGTAAGAATACACTTCATGTATTGCATCAAAAAAATACAATTGGCTTTATTTTTATATTTTTTGATAATCAAATAAATCCAAAATAGGTATAATATAGAACAGAATCTAACTATTGGCATATTTTTTTCTTTTTCAAAATATAAATAAAAACCCATATAACATGAAAGTTAAAATTAAAAAGAAAACAATTCATTTTTAGAAAAAAAAAAATGATGTTTTAATGAATTTATAATATACCACGTGTCTTAATTAAAACAAATTTCTTTGTAGTTCTGGTAATGTTAGTGATGTCAAAGATTTCAAAATTCTACTAAATTAGTTTCTCCATATTTTGAAATTATTTCAAATATGTTATTTTGGCTGCTGCCTACTTATTTGTGTCTAAGTCTCAAGGTTTTGATTTTATGTAATATTTTTAAAAACAATACCTACCCAAAATAAATAAATTATGTTTAACTAGAAATAGTTTTAAAATAAAGAAAAACTGATTTTGTACAACTGTTAGTAGCTATATTTTTCATATTATTGATATTACCAAGGCTACAAAGAAATCTGTTTTGAATGGTACACGCGATATACAGGGTGAGTCATTTTTTATATGATCGAATGAAACGGCATTTAAAATTCAATATAATATCACTTTGTTTTGTGAACATATGACTAAATATATGCTTTTTTATTTTTTTTATTACAAGTATTTCAAAATAGTACACCATTGTTGTGGTAATATCAAAAATTGTATAAATCTAGCAGTGGCGTGCCTAAAACAATTCAAGTTTATCCTTTAATTAAAGAAATAAGTACGTCATATTTTTCAGAAATTATTTCAGGCTTGATGATATACATCCAGTATTTTGAAAATGGCTGTAAAAATTTTATAAAGTCATGTCACTCATTTAAAAAATGTCTAGCGCTATTTGAAAGTTAATAGTTTTAACCTGCTATTTCTTAATTGTATTTAATATTTTTTGTCTAACTTTTGGAAGAAAGACTTACAAAAATAATGAAATTAAATTGTAACTAGTATTAAAAAAAAACATTTAGTTACATGTTTAAAAGCAAAGTGACATTATTTCAGAAACTGAAACCTTCTCTATATTCAAGATATCCCACTTCCATTCCCCAAATTGAAATATGATGGAAGATGTGATGAAAAAGTGTATTTGACCATAGATCCAAAAAAACTGATTGCAGGCTTCCGTGGCAATTGCCAACAGTTTCCAGGCTGGTTGCCATTTTGGTTTAGGCTTCTTCATGTTTTGAGAGACATGTCTCCCTTCTTTAGAAGAAACTCTGAAACTGTTTCAGAATTACTTCTGAAGTACAATAATGTCTCTCAAAAAGTCAATTATCCTAAATACCTGGAAACCAGCTTGAAAATTGTTCAGTAATTTGACCAGAAATGCTTAATAAAAAAGAAAGAGGGCTCTTCAGTGATTTTTATATTAAATTATGTAGATCAAAAAGATATAAGGTGCAACAAAAAACACCTACTTACTAACATTTCCTTCCCCATATGAAGTGTCATGTTTTTGAAGGTCAGTTGCACTTTTGAATTGCATAAAAACTATCTTTTACCAATTTAACTTAAAAGTTGCTAGATCTTGGGTACAAAGAGAACTTCCAAAACTTGAGTCTTATAAAGTTTATAAAATTTAAAATTGATGTAATTTTCTTCCTGAAATATTACATCCAATAATTGTTAAAATGTGAATTTGAAGGTAGGTACTACATATTTTGTATGAAACATTTCTGTACCTGTGTTCATAGAAACTTGTTTTTAAATCAAATTCTACAGCATCTGTTTCATTTTGACAGAATAAAACTGGGACACCTTGAATATATACATCCATATTACTTAAATGTAAGAACTGCTTATGGAATGAAATTAATTTATACTCTGTATTTATAAAAAAACAGGCATTACTATTTTAACTTGTGTAATTTTTAGGTAATATATGAAATATACAGGGTGTACTGTCCTCTATATGTTTACATTTTTTAATTTTTGCAAAATACGGTGGAGAAAAGAGATTTATTTACTCTAAAAAATGAAGATGTTCCTTGGGAATTAAAATTTTCCATATATGACAAAATGTACCAAAGAAAATTAAAAGCCCATCCTAGAATTAATTTCAATTGTTAACTCATTACCTGTAATAAATGCACACCTTTGCTATATGAAGAAAATTATCCTTGGAATATACGAGTATCCTGATGTAACACATACATGAATGTATAAATTTAGAAACTTAGATAGGTAGGACCTACATTTTTTTCTCTGAAGAATAGCTGAAAAAACAGGTATCTGATATATTAAATAAATGTGTTATAAATAGGGCAGCACATAGGCGTATGCATTATTTATTAAAAAGCAACAAATTAAATTGTCTACCATCATAAACACCAACGGATAGGAGTTAATTACGCAACATCTGCATGATAACAAAGACAACAGTATACTAACGTGACATGAATGATTTCTTTTACGATTTTAGTTGTCTTCTGATGAATAATTGTGTGTAATTATGTCGAGCGTAGTTAGTGCTAAAAACACACCAAACAATTCATATTAAAAAAAAAAAACGAATTTAACAGTAAGTAGCTACAAAATTATTAACATGTAAAAACTATTCAAATGGAAAGAGGTAAAGGAAAATAATGAGCTCTAAAAATACCTATTAAAGCTGCCCCCTTCGTTTAAATTGATTTTTTATTTTTTTGATAAAATTTATAAAAAAAGCAAGGAGTAATAAATTATGTACTCGGGTCAGCATCACAGCTTTATCAGTAGTAAATTTGTTCAATAAAGTGGCACTCAACACGTGTTATTTCAAGTGCATGTGGTCATAGGGAAAGTTAAACAACGAACAATACTTCCTTTTACTAAAAAAATATAAACAATAATATAATTCAGTATACAGGGTGTCCGGTAACTACGGGAAAAAATTAAAGGGTTATATAGAGCAGGTCAAAAGAGTGCTAGTACTTCATATAAACTTTTTTCCTAGGTGCCATTGTTGAGGAGTCATTGTCACTCAAAGTAAGAAGTTGAAAAATGAATATTGCCCATAATTTCTAAAGGGTTACTTTGATTAAATTGAAATTTGGGGGATCAAAGCAACTCATTCAAATGTATCTTTGTACATTTAAAATTGAATCAAATATTTTTTATTATACAAGGACGGTCGAAATTATGTTCTAAAATTTACGCAACTTTGACAGAGCTGTCAAATTTGACATTTCGCCCTCGCAGGCAGATAGCCCTGTTACTTTTCTACAAAAAAGGTATACTTCATGACTTATGAAAAAATGAACGGTTGTCAAGATAATTAAATTTTTGTATTTTGTGTATAGCCACAACCGGGGACACAACGCAACAGAAAAAAGTTAAGAATGAAATATATGGATTAAAGATGTTACTTCAGTTAATGCTCGATATGTCCTCCATCTAGTTCAATGCATTTCCTTATTCTTTTAAGATTAATAGTGCAAAATACACGTATAAAAAAACGGCATCGCCGCTTTCTCGACGTAGCGTATTATTAGAAATTTGCAGGTGTCCAAACAAACAGTGATCGAATGGGAGCAAGCGAACGCCGAGCCGAGGGCGCCAGCCAAGTGCAATGTTGCCAAATCTAAAGGCTTACTACTTTAGTCATTAGCGAATCTTCAGAAACTTTCGTTAGACTTTAGACGTACCTCCATATTCGATAAACCTCCTTAAGTGTTTAAACATATTTTTAGAACTTTAGACTCCTACATTATCAAAATCAGCTTGTAAAAAATGGATTGTCTGTTTTGTATATCATTTAAAAACTACGCAATTTAAATTCAAAATAGGCATATGTAAATGATTTTTTATATATAGAAAACAAGTACGTTAAATATCTGGAAATTAATTTCATTCCATTTGTAAGGTCTACACTGCGCATAATATAAACATATAATTTTAGCTGCCATGTCATTACCAGAAAAGGGGGATTGGTTGGAAGAAGTTACGTATGTGGAACTTGAAGAATCTGAAGCTAAAGAAATAGTGAAAAAATATAATGCTGCAGGTAAAGAAGCTGGATATGGAAGCGAAAAAAGGTTTGGTCGAAGAGACGACAGATGGCAAAATAGAAGTAAGTTCACCAAACTGCTTAACTGATCCTCAAGTAAATCTTGTTCAGATGTGCTGAATTTTTTTTTGTGTGCTTATTCTACAAAGGATCAAATTCTTCCTTAATTAATTTGCTGGTGTATAGACAGCCTTTGAATTGGTTGAATTAACTGTATACAGAATGTGACTTTGCGACAATCTTTCAAAGTTGGACCATTTCCACTTCAGATTTTCCTGCCTCCCAAGTTTTTTTGTACAGTGGATGTAGTTACAAATTAAGTTGGACCATTTCCACTTAGAATTTTCGTGCCTCCCGAGTTTTTTTGTACATTGTATGGTTTGTGTGTAAAGGTACAAGTTATATTAGGCATTCAGCAGTGGATCATAGAAAAAAGTAAATTTACTAAAGGACTCCGCACAATCCTTATGGAAAGTGGCTTTCGGCTGTAACCTGAGGGGTTATTTCTTTATTTATCTATCCACCGTTAGGACCAGTATCATAACGATATTAAATTGCAAAAGAGTTTACTATTTATTTCTCGAAAGGGAGTTTATAGTTAATTATCATCTACACTTTTATTGATGAGTGGGGACTTAGAAATGTTGTACGTTCAGAGAATGAATTCCAGACACTACTGTATGTCGCTCATGTAGTAGAGTATAATCCGGGTGTTGGTTGTACAGAGTGTTCCACTCTCACTCAGTGGACACTTAATTTAGAAGAGCAAGTAAACACAAAACTTCGAGGAAGGTTTTTAATAACAATAAAAACAAACAAAATAACGAAGACACAACGGACTCGAACAAACCTTATTAATTAATTTACACGCGATAACACAATCCGAGATTCAGGGAACCCAACGCGAACTCGTAGCAAAATTAAGAAAACTGCCAGTGTGGAACCCAAGGAGAAACTGCCCTTTTTTTGGGATCTCCTGAATTTGACACCTTGCTTTGACACGCCCATTTCTTGGATACTCTCAATTCTTATCTTATTGGCGGGATCCCTGAATATCAGGGGTTGAAATGTCTTGACTATACCATGTTAATACCTAATCGACTGAATTTACAATTGTATGGATAATTTTGTGACTAAACTGAACTTACAAGTAATCCTACACCTTCCTTTTGTAACTCCGTATAGCAACAAGGGACGGATTAGTCAATCTCATTTAATCTATTTTTGTAGCTTGGAAAATCCGCCTAAAAACCAGCTATTTGATCTATTATTATTTTCCTCACAACATTCTAACAACTTATTTAAATATCGTGGAATTACTACGTCTTTTCGTATGTATTTGGCGCGTTATTAGAAATATAGATTTTCCCATCACCATGGGTTAAACCGACGCATTTAGTCGATACCAGATGCCCAACACATGGCCCTGACGATCTAAGTATACTTGTTCAAAAACATTGATAAATTTCACGAGGCCTTCTCCGAAGGACTGCGATGGTCGAGCTTTGCAAATTTATTGCTCCCGGTGACAAGAGGCACCAGTTTCTCAACGACTTTATGGCGACGCTAAACCTACTTGAAAACCCTTTTCAATAATTGAGGACCTTGGTGCAAGAAGGGGATAAGTCACTATTTTTTCAAAAGTGAGATATGAGTTCCACGCGCTGCAACAAAATATAAGCTAGCGTTTGGTGCAATAATGGAATAAGTAGACCCATAAACAGCAATGTNAAGTTTCGGTTCTTATCTTATTGGCGGGATCCCTGAATATCGGGGGTTGAAATGTCTTGACTATACCATGTTAATACCTAATTGACTGAATTTACAATTGTATGGATAATTTTGTGACTAAACTGAACTTACAAGTAATCCTACACCTTCCTTTTGTAACTCCGTATAGCAACAGGGGACGGATTAGTCAATCTCATTTAATCTATTTTTGTAGCTTGGAAAATCCGCCTAAAAACCAGCTATTTGATCTATTATTATTTTCCTCACAACATTCTAACAACTTATTTAAATATCGTGGAATTACTACGTCTTTTCGTATGTATTTGGCGCGTTATTAGAAATATAGATTTTCCCATCACCATGGGTTAAACCGACGCATTTAGTCGATACCAGATGCCCAACACATGGCCCTGACGATCTAAGTATACTTGTTCAAAAACAATGATAAATTTCACGAGGCCTTCTCCGAAGGACTGCGATGGTCGAGCTTTGCAAATTTATTGCTCCCGGTGACAAGAGGCACCAGTTTCTCAACGACTTTATGGCGACGCTAAACCTGCTTGAAAACCCTTAACTTTTCAATAATTGTTGTTGACTGGGTTGACCCATCCACTCCGAGAACTAACAAGTAATCTGTCACAAGTCCGAGCTTTTGTTACACGGCAAATTTTTTTGAAACTGCTATGTGTTCTAATCGTGGATAAAAAATCTCGATGGGCACAAAGTGTGAAAGTCCTTTGTTTTGAACCTATGGCCCCGGAAAGTTGGGTTTTTTTCTCCTTACACTGCATAGTAAGAACACACCAATGATTATTTTTTGTAAAATTACATTAATTATAAATGGACCTTACCCAATCGATTAAAGATGTTTTCAATCTCAGGTTCTAACAGAAAGTAGCATTTTATGGAAATCGGCACGAGGTCAACTTCAGAGGTACTATAGGGCTCAAAAAGCGCGTTTTAGAAAAAAAAATGTTTTAAGCAAAAGTTTCACATTTTTCGGTGTTGAATTGAAATCCATAATAAAAAAATATATTTTATTTGAAAAAATTGACTTCTGGTCCGAATAGGCTTAAATAACAATCTAACAGTTAAAAAAAATTAAAAACTCCTATGATACAGGGCATAGGTAAACTCCAAAAATACAGATCAATACAGAAATTTAGTAATTTTATTAGCAAACAATAATTGACTTGAACATTATGCGATTTATAATACCAATGACGTCACTCATCAGTTCAGCAGCTTATTTGCATTAGAAAATTAAAAGTGAATAGAACAAATATTTAATATTTTCGTGGTAAATACATAACAATAAATACATTTTCTTCAGGGAATGATTTTCGTGGCAAAAATTTCCGTGAGAGAAGCTACCACAATCAGAGGTACGATTCTAGAGGTCCTAGACAAGGAGGATGGAATAATCAGAGATCTGGAGGAAATAATTGGAATAGGGACCGACGTAATAATAGGGGTCCCCCCAGTCGAGAATGGAGAGGTAAGAAAATTTTCTAATAATATCAAAACATTAATTTTTTTCCGTAAAATTGTAATTATAATTTTTTGTTTTTTTTTTTTATTTTAAGGTTTTCCACTATGATCCTTTTACATTGTGATCGAATATACCAAGTTGAATAATACAGATTTCCCAAAATATTGCACATTACACACGCATCTTGTATAAAAAAAAATGGCATATTTAGGAGTTTGAGGATAAGCTGTAAATTTTATGAAGAATGACATTTTCTTACAAATTTACAATTATTAATGTCCGTTCTTCAGGGCACATTGTATGTGCAACTTTTCAAAATCTTAGGGTCGGCGACATATATTTTAATATTTTATTGAACAATAAACTATCACTATATCAGTACAGATAGATTGATAGTTCTCGTTTCTAATAAAATGATATGATATGTAGGTAGTGGCCATGATCACGGATCAAGAGATGTTCACAGTCAAGGAGGAAATTACAATAGGCATCGCCCGCAAGGTGGTAACAGGGGTCATGGCAATTGGTCTGGTGGCAACTGGAGTGGTCAGGGTTGGAATCAGCAAGCATTTGGTACTGGAAGTGGTGGATACGGGGGAAATCAAAATTGGAATAACCAGTGGAAATATGGTGGTGGTAGCGGCGGATCGGGTAGTGGACAGCAAGGATACGGGAGCGGTTACGGTAATTGGAATTATTACGGTCAATATGGGCAACAAAACTGGAATAGTCAGGTGAGTGACAATTTATCAGATTTCTAATTTCCTGTTATATGTTAATTTTTGGAATGTAATTTCCGATGTGAAATTAAAAAGCTGCTAGAAAGATGGAAAATTTTTTTCCACCTGGAAACAAAAAATATGGTGATATAGGGAAAAAAATTCTAAGAAAGATAGTGTATTTTTCCTGCGGCACATAAACGGCGAAGTTAACCTAAAAAATTCATAAAAGTAAAAAAAACGGTTTTTTGCTAATAAAAAAAAACTTGAACTCGAATCGAAAAAAGTTAAATGAGAAAGTTATTAAAAAAACCTATCGATCCGTATTTTTAAATATATCGCTTGCTATATTACTTTTCGATGATATATCGAAAAAACCGCCAAAAATCGACTTTTTGTTTTTGCTGTATTTGCAAATTAAGGTTTTGAAACTTATTTGCAGTAAATGTAGCCGTCGGCAAACAAAAAAGTACCTTTTTTTAAAATTAAAAAATATTAAAGGCTCTTCTTGCTCGACAAATAGTCATAGAGAAACGAATCAGGGCTCATTTTGTTCCTTGAGAGTTGTACTTTCATGGTAAAAAAGAGTGATGACGATTGTATTCATTTCAAATGTACAAAGATGACTGAAAAAAGTAAAAAAATTTTTGTCGCATTTTTCTTGAATATCTTTTTCGATTTTCATTTATCGATAATGTCTATTACAGGAATCGATTGCTGGCATTTTTACACGAATTTAAAAAAAAAAGCGTTGCTCTACTACCTTTTGGAGCCGAGATATATTTTTTTTTCTTCAAAAAATTCCATAGGCCGCTATTTAAGTGCTATAACGTTCATTCTCACAGAGATTGAACATGAAGACATATATTTTCAATAAAAAAAATACTGTGGTTCATTTTAGCCACTTCTGCATTTTTAATTGTGCGTTAAACCGATGCATTCGAGCGCGGCGAGAGCTAACTGTAGCGGGCGGCGGAGTGGGGGTAATGCTACTCGGCCGCTCCGAAAACTGAATTCGCGCGTTCAAAAGCGCTCTTACTTTCAAAATCTTCGTTATCTCGACTTCTGGACCACGTACAAAAGTTCTTTTGTAGTTAATCTGAGGTAACCTCAAAAGCATAATTACCATTGAAAAAAAATATCATGTAGCTGCGTCAGCGGTTGCAAAAATAAAATCTGTGGTTGTAAAAAAAAAATTTTGAAATGTGCAAGTGTTTGTTTACATTGTGATGTATCCCAATGTGAAAGTTTTAAACTCCAAACATCCAATTAGACGATGATTCTTTTGACGCGTTTGAATCACTCATTGATGCAATGAATTATGTGGAAAATGAAGTTGATCGCGTGGAAAATATAGGAAACGAAACCATGGAAGAAGAAGAAAATGAATCACAATCGAGGGAATTGAAGAGAAGAAGAATTGAAAGATAAGAGTGATATAAATAAACTGTGAAAATAAAAAATGTGATCGTCGAATATTTTTATACCACGTAATTTTCTGTACGATAAATAAATATTTTGTAATACTTTTATAACAAAAAGATATAATTACCATAAAACGTACATACTTTATTTCATAAATAATTATTGAAATTCCTTCCACAAGAGGTGAGAAAATTTTAGGCTAAAGGAAAATTAAATTTTTCAAAGGTAATTATGCTTTTAAGGCCGTCGTAAACGTCATATTTTGGTTTATCTCGTCGAGCAAAAGGATTTTTATATGTGGTCCAGAAGTCGAGATAAAGAAGATTTTGAAAGTAACGGTGCTTTTGAACGCGCAAATTCAGTTTTCGGAGCGGCCGAGTACCGTTACCCCCACTCCACCGCCCGCTGCAGTTAGCTCGCGCCACGCTCGGATGTTTTGGTTTGACGCGCAATTAAATATTTTTTTATTGAAAATATAAGTCTTCAACTTCAATCTCTGTAAGAATGTCCGCTGTAGCACTTAAATAGCGACCTGTGGAATTTTTTGGAAAAAAAAAATTATTTGAGCAACTTTTTTTTTTTAAATTCGCGTAAAAATGCCAGCAATCGATTCCTGTATTAGACATTATTGTAAATGAAAATCGAAAAAGATATTCAAGAAAAACACAAGCAAAAAAATTTTACTTTTTTCAGTCATCTTTGGACACTTGAAATGAATAAAATCTTTATCACTCTCTTTTACCTTGAAAGTACAACTCTTGAGGCAAAAAAATTAGTCCTGATTCGTTTCTCTACGATTATTCGTCGAGCAAGAAGAGCCGATTTTCGAGATGACCTTTTTTTCGAAAAATCGATCTCGAAAAATTTTTAATTTTAAAAAAGATACTTTTTTTGCTTGCCGAGGGCTACATTTACAGCAAGTAACAAGTTTCAAAACCTTAATTTGCAAGAGATACAGCAAAACAAAAAGTCGATTTTTGACGGTTTTTTCCATATACATCGAAAAGTAATATAGCAATCAATATATTTAAAAACCGAAACGATAGGTTTCTTTAACCCTTTCACTGCTCCAGACGGATTAATTCGCATGAATAGTTAAATTGGATCAGGCTGCTCAAACCGTATATATTCGCAACCATGCGCATTGTGACTCGGTTATTGCAATTGGTAAGGCGAATTTTTGCCGGCGAGCTTATACCGATTGTGACAAATATTTTTATGGAAAGAGGTACTGGTAATAATACCAAGATTGATCATGTTTCTTTCAGTTTCTATTTAGTACATATACTGTATTTTATTCAAAATAAAATCATAAAATATCGCAAATCGTAATTTAACACAACATAATGTAAAACTATAAGTGGTCTAACTGCTCCAGACGTATATATTCGCACGCGATAAACTTTCGCGCACGACGCGGTAGCTACGTTCAGACGTATTGCGCAGCGAAAGGGTTAATAGCTACAACTTTCTCATTTAACTTTTTTCGGAGTTCAAGCTTTGTTTTTATTAGCGAAAAACCGTTTTTTTGACTTATGAATTTCTCAGGTTATCTTCGCCTTTTATGCGCTACAGAAAAAATACACTATCTTTCTTAGAATTTTTTTTCCTATATCACCATAATTTTTGTTTCTAGGTGATATTTTTTGTAAATTTAACATATAACAGGCCGCGGCAGATTGATTGGACTAGAATGGGTTTTACTTTATTTACATTAAAAATTAAATAAATACTAACTCAAGTAAAAAAGAAACTAATATTAAAACAGATCTGACGTTATTTTAATAATATACGTAATATATTTTTCTTTACAGAAGTAGTCCTGTCCCTCCGAGAATCATAATCAAGGAGAATTTATTTAGTAAACCTAAAATTGAATTATAAATTCGTTTAATCTAATTCTTAATTGATTCTAATAATTTAAATGTTTTATCAGTACACTGTAAATATAAAGGGTTTTTTATATTAGAAACAACAAACAAATTTTACAAGTCAACTCAAAAAATCGTACAATAAAATTCACAAGGATGCAATACTTGGCGTGTATCCACTAACCACTTAACGAAAATTGGCATGTTTTCTATTTCGTATATATTTGAAATAAAAAAAATATTTCTTTAATTTAAAGCACCAGTTTTGTTAAATGTAAAATCATTTGTTGGTTCTAATAATTTGATATCTACAAAGGTACTTACTAATAATTAAATTATTTGCTCCTCTACTAAACTTTATATTACATAATTTTTATATTCACAACCAAATATATATTCTCTCTGCAAAAAAGATGTTCTTTGGACTTTTTTAAGGACTACGAATTAAAAAATTAAAAAATAAACATCTGCAGTGTAAATATATGTATGTATTACTAGTTTCGTAGTACTGTTTCCTACTTTACCTTGTACCGGTTACGGATAAGATACAATGCAAATAATTTAATTTTTAATCAATGGTACCTTCTTCGCTACAAATTTAACATCTCCATCATGTCTAAACTGACAACAGGTTTGTTTGGTGAGTGTTAAGTTTTCACAAATTTTATTTTCATAATACATTTAAGGTTTCCATTTTATTAGTTTTTTATTATACGTACCTTATATTCATTTGTATATACTTATTTAAAACGGTAGTATATTTTGATTCTCTACAGCTCGTTTGATTGTGTGTTTTATATAATCTTAAATATTGACTAATTTTCTATTTCTAGTTTTGTAACAAATGTAGTATTTGTTATAATAAAATCATTATTTGTGAAATTAGAAAATGGTATTATGTACATAAATTTGAAAACATTTAATAGATTAACTTTCATAAAATTTGACTCATCTGTTCATATCCCTAGGTTTGCTTCGCAAACGAAAAATACAACCGGTACGAACAAATGAGTTATAGAAAAATATATCTTATTATAAACATTTATTACATAAGAACTTGTAATATAAAATATTATGTAGTACTAAAATAAGGTATCAGAAAATTTTAAATAAATTTGTGATTTTCTAATTAAGTGGTTTAATTTATAGCACACTCCCGATTTTAATTACTATTTTTTCTGAGTGGTGACTACAAATTACTTATACAGGGTGTTCCAAAAGACAACGCTAAGCGGGCAAGGGGTGATAGGCCAACCTGTGACTAGCCAGATTAAATTAAATTCGACCGTAGTGAAAGGCTTTTAGCTATCGGCACCAATCTAAGTAATTTCAATTATTATGATTCCATTTTTTCCTGATTTTCAGCTTTTTTAAAATAATTGACTGTTTGTCTTAAAAGTAATTACCATTTTTCACGTAAAAAAAAGAAACTCATTTTGACTATTTCAAATAAAAAGTAGTTTGTTTTTTCACTTCTATTTACAATATTTTGAATAATTTACGGTAAACAAATTCATCAAATCAAGTAACCCTGAAAGTAAAGGGAGAATTATTTAAAAAATCTTAAAACTGGAAAATGTCAACAAATCGTAATGGTATAGTCTTTCCGAAGTCAGTTGATCATGTAAAAAATGCCTGGCAATAAAAATTAATCAGTCATGGGCGTCCCTAAAAAGTTTTCCGATAAAGGTAAAAAATTATAATAATTTGTATGTAATGTGCAGAAAATTTCTATTATATGTTCATTTGGCCAACAACATATTTTAATTATTTATCTCCTCAAACAATTTTATTATATTGATGGTAAATTTCGTTTTGGTTCCGTTTCAAAAGGTCTCCAGAATGCCATGTTGTAATAATTTTTCTCCCATTCGCAATTGTAATATCAATGATTAATAGAAGGTGCCTATAATAAATTAAAATTACCTGAATCACACCAAATTCTGCATTGCTGCTGCACTGCACAGCTGAGATTTATTGCGCAGTGGCCCAATGCAGCTGTATTTGTATTTCGTGTGCCCGTTCTCTCATTCTTCAACTGGGCGTATACATTTCTACCACTTCCACGTTTAGTTCGACCAAACTTGTATATGGGCATGGCTAAATAGATATGGGAACAAATATTTCAATGCCGAGTTGCTGCGTCAGCGACTAAACCTGGTATAGTCTTTCCGATATCAATTGAAGAACCAAGAGGATAGTATGTACCAGGGTCGGTGACTGGCGCAGCAACTCGGCATTGCACTATTTGAAAAACTTGTTCCCATATTTATTTAGCCCTACCCATGTACTGGTTTGGTCGAACTAAACGTGGAGGTGGTAGAAATGTATACGCCCAGTTGAAGAATGCGAGCACGGGCAAGCAAAATCTAACACAGCTGCATTGGGCCACTGGGCAATAAATCTCAGCTGTTGACAAGTGTTGACAAATAATAATTGTTTATTAAATAGGATATCCTAATATACAGAAATCAATTTAAATTTAAATATAACAAGTGACTGGCATATTTTTAACTTTACTGGTAATCTATTGAAATTAACAACCCCTTCATTGTATGACAATAATTTGTTCTCCAAACATGGAAGTTATCGGCACCTCGAGTAAAGTAGTCATGAATTTCATGATTCCTTATAATATGCTGGTTAAAATAAAAATTGCCCAGCAGTGCAGGGCAGCAATGCGGAATTTGGTGTGATTCAGGTAATTTTAATTTATTATAGGCACCTTCTATTAAGCATTCATATTACAATTGAAGGGTACAGGCAAAGAAGGCGCTATGTAAATTTTTACCGAAAACGAGATATTTGCGCCATCTAATAGTCGTTGATGTATACTATCTTCTCATAAATGCGTCATGACAAAATGCGATAGGTCAGGAATAACAGATTATTTAAATTTCTCTATACCGGCTAAAAAGGCGCTATGTCCGCACAGTCCTAGGGAAAAAGGCGCCAAGTCATGTTTTTCATGTGGTGAACGACGAACGACTGAAGCAACAATTGATGTCCATTTTTCGTACAACAATAACTTTTTACGAGTAGTTTGGTGTAAATTATTAATTTAATAACAAAATACGAAGTGTAATGGAGGGTGAAGCTGATGACATCTTTAAATGTCCGAACATTAGGGATAGTAAGAAAAAAAGAAAGTATGGTAAATTAAGTGAGGTAAATAAATGGTTAAATTTGAGGAGCCATACTACAGAATAAGATTGTAGATGTAAAAGATTTAACTATTTTGTGCGTCTCGAAGAATTATTCAAAATTTTAATTTACTTAATTCAGTTGATGAACAAAATATTTATTTGTGTGGTTTAATTACTACTGTGCCTGTTAAGCAACTAAGATTTTGTGGCTTAGTTGCCCAAGAGTACTTTAATCAGTTGCCATATTTAGATGAGAGCTAATTACAATTTTTTTTTACTTACAGTATGATAAGCTTAATAAAGGTCCTATAAAATTTGTTCCTGATGGAATATTTTTTTAGATCTGTTATGCTCCAATATAAAAACAGTAACAAACGTCCACAAGTTGGAAATATTCTGCAGTTAATGTGACCCGAAAGGAATTTCTAAGTTCAGTATGTTTTGTTTTATTTTTGAAAAATGTTTATTTTTTTCTATTCCTGAGTATGTGCTCTCTAGATTAAATTGTATCCAGCCCAATGCTTAAATACATTTATAAAATAAGTTGAGGTACTTTATTTTCAAATAATAAATGAATAACAGAGGTGCCAAACCTTTAAATTAATTTTTCTCAAAACTAATTATTTTGACCTAGCGCCTTCTTTGCCTGTACCCTTCAATTGCAAAAGGGAAAAATAAGATGGATAATTTGTTTACTAATATTACATGGCATTTTAGAGACCTTTTGAAACGGAACAAAACAAAATTTACAATCAATACATATAATAAAATTGTTTGAGGACATAAATAATTAAAATATGTTGTTGGCCAAATGAACATGTAATAGAAATTTTCTGCACATTATATACAAATTATTATAATTTTTTACCTTTATCAGAAAACTTTTTTAGGGACACCTATGAAACTCATTAAATTTTACTGCCAGGTGTTTTTTTTTTACATGTTCAACTGACTTTGGAAAGACTATATATTCTGTCATCCTCTTGGTTCTTCAATTGAAATCGGAAAGTTTATAACAGAATTTTTTTTTCATTGATTTTGATAGTAAAACAGTAATTGGCACAAAACAAAATCACAAAATATCTGAATTTGTAGTTGTGGCACCTGAAATATTCACTTAATACAGGATGTCTCTCTAATACTGCAAAAAACTTCAAGCGATCCTGTGCTAAAAAGTAAGAGGGTCTGATTCCTGAAAACTTCTGCTAATGAAATTATACCGCTTTAAAGGGTAAGTTACAATTCAGTTTTTTTACAATTTATTAAGAAAAGACTAGGTAAATGTATTTACAAAAACTGCTGGAAATGGCAACACTCAACTTCATTATAAGCTTCCGTTTTGTCTTTCGATTTGACCCACAAGACGCGATTCCATAATTCTAAATTTTTAATTGGACTCGTATAAACCAACTGTATAGAACATATCGAGGAGAGGGTTTAAATCTGGGACCATGGAGGACAAGGTTCTGCTCCTCCTTTATCTAGACTAGAGCACTGTTGTGCATAAATTAAACATTAACAAAAAAACAGACTTCAAGAAAATCTACAATAAATCAAAAAGTCAACCTGTCCAGCAAAAACAGTGGCCAATCAGAAAATTTTCATAAGTCCATATGTAATTGTTATGAAAATAGTTCATTTTGGCATGCCAAGGGAAGTTAATCCCATCTGTAAATAGTATTTGTGTAAAAAATTGAAGATGCATTCATTTGCATTTATCGACACAGAGCCACTGTACATGAAAAATCACTGGGTAAAAGGGTTTATATTACATGCGGAATACGATAGGGGTACAAAAGACATCTTTTAAAACCAAACTATTGATTGGATAATGTTTAATGTGTGAACAATCTTCCTAATGCTTGTTGTAGGATTTTCTTCGATTTCGTTAAGCACCTCGTCGTGAACAAACACAAAAATGTTAACTTGGTCATTCCTTAGTTGTCATTTTATCTCATCTTGAAGTTTATTGGCATGTTCCGTCATGTCATTTTGTTGTAAAGGTGAGAATTCTAGCATCTTTGTGGAAGCTAGTTCACTTGATTTTGTTTATTAAAATTCGTGGACTTAGTTCTTTCATTCAAGTGTGCGTCAGCATCCAAACAATTAAATACACAAATCGGAAGTAGTCGTCCACCACACCACATAATATAGAATTATTGCTGAAAACCTTTTCTATTGAAAATGTTAAGATTTTCTAGACTACAGACAGTCCTCGAGTTACATTGTTTTGAGTTGAATCGAACTATATTTTAACACCAGTCCCCAATCTAACGTCAATAACTTCAAAATACGTCGTGGGCTATTTCACTTGTACGGTTATCGGTGTTATAAGTCTTTGGACATTTACAGAATGCCACAAATATTTTTAAGGAACATGATCCAAATTTGGGAGAAGATTTAATATTAATAACAAAATTATTACTTCGTCAGTGTTTTCGAAAAATTTATGAAAACAAACTCAAATTGATACGTTTCTTAAACCAATGGTTGTTTTTATTATGGTTCTTTCTATTTTTTCAATTGTGCAATAAGTACGTACCAAATAGATGGTTTATTTTATAAATAAAGCATGGTTTTTTAATATTAATATATATTTTTTTACATTGTATGTTTTGCTGGAACCTAACTGCTTCACTGTACATAGAAATGGATGAAAATAAATGTATCGAAATACGTTGTTTTGAAGGAGGACTGCCTGTATATGTATTCATTATGGCCGTCATTTATACAATCTTGAGTAAAAGTACCTTTGTTCGACCAAAGCATCTCTCCCATGAAATTTTCATTTCATTGCATATTATGCCCTTGAAATAGCCATTGACAGAATATGTCGGTGCAATCTCCTAGTTGCAAATTTCCAAAACAAATGGACAAGCATCTCGTCAATTTTGACGTCATGATGTCACTTCACTCATAATTTACTTTTTTTTTATCATTTATTTCATGGCTTGCTATCGTTTATTAACGTTAAACATTGGTAACACGCAGAATTTTTGAAGTTTAATAACTCGGAAACAAAGCCCTACCAGCAAACATTTTATTTTACATTTTTTAACCAGAATATTACCCTCCTACACGCTCCTTAACTTTTCCCCTCCGAGTTATGAAAAACCATGTAATTTTATTTATAATGAAATAAAAATACTTTTATAATTAGGTGGTAATAATACTTTTTTGAAAATGAAGGGTTCACTCTGTTAACTTCAGGAATGGTTGGTTATAATTTTTTGCTTAGTTCCACTGTCAGCCCCGCTTTGTCTTTTGCACGAGATCCTTACCAAATCTGGTACAGTATGTAAATTTCAAAGAAATTACCACAAGAGATATCGTTTTTAATCGTTTCTTCAATATCAACTAATATGAACTGTAAAAAATAATCTTTTCTTGACCTAAATTCACTTTTAATACTGGTAACATTTTTGAGGAAGTCTACTACTACTTGTTAACTTTTCCTGAAAAGGTCTTTTTTTTAAAGGTAAACACAAATAATTCATGAAAATGATTAATAATAATTTATTTTGATGTTTGTTACCGATTTAAATATCGTTTATGAACTTACAGTAATCATAACAAAAAATATTTTTAAAATATATTTACACTCATTTTTCGCTACTTCACTAGTCCTAACTTTTTTGCCTCAACTTCATATATTAATAACCTCCACATTTTAACTACAAAAACTTCTGCCTCTTCATCTAATACCTAAAAAAAAACAAAACAAATATATAACAGGATATTTCACATAAATTAAATGGATAAATCATAAGAATTTGTATGTCTAATAGAGATGTCTTAACGGAGAAATAAAAAATTCAGTATATGTTATTAATGATTAGAATCCAAAATGCATGTGCAAACAAATGTGACCATAATCTGACGGAAGCATAGAACAAACCTTATGCATGTACCTCATAATTGGAGGAAAATATTATTAACGATGCCTTTCTTGTTTGTATATGCACTACACATTCTAACCGCTAGCACCGCATATGGACACATCATCGAACAAATATAATACAACACTCAAAGTCTTAAATGAATATCTAAAGAAACATATAATTAAAAGCAACTAGTGGTTAAGATCGGGGAGCCTACCCTAACCACCCAAATATGCAATTTCGATATTACTGATTATCAGTGAAGATTCGACATAGAGTTAGACACTCATTTTAAAGATTCCATTTTGTCTAAATATGACTCACTAAGCTGGTTCCGAAGCACCACGTACAATTCTGAAGTGTAAAACGAATAACCTCTTAATTTACGTTTGACAAACTCCAAAATAATTTTCGTATATTCTAAAAAAATCATTATTTGTAATCTATTCTTAAAGTTTGGTTAATAAAAATTAAACCACTTTGTACATATGATGACTAGTGATTATTTTTATATTTTTACTTTATAGATTCGATTGTGTCAAGTGGTATCAATTTCAGTGGCGGGCTCGCCAGGTAATGTAAGTGACGCACCGCTTCACCTAAAATTTCCGTTTGGTTGTGCAAAACAAAATTGTTTTTAATTTTATATAAATTTTTTAATTTAGGTATAATTCTATATTGAAACTGTATTGTGTTTGTTTAATAAGCAGAAATAAACAGAATAGTTGCGCGGTGAACGCCTTCTAAATAAACATTGCCTTTGTTGAGCACAAACATCAACCTTGTACGATACAACCTATAAGCATGTGACGCGGATCGAAATCAGTCTGTATTCCGCTTCTCTTCGAAGCATCGTTTACGGCGGTTGTCATGGCAACGTGGCGGCCAACACGGGAGTAAACTAAGGCGTGGGGGAACGAGTGACGCGGAAATTGAAGCGGCATCGCCATCGCCCATCGCCTGCCTTTACTTTAAAAAGTTTATACGATACGTCGCCCAGTGCATGATTATAACGGTTCTTAGTTAATATTTGTTTTGTATAATAATTGCAGAAATGTTTCCTATGTATGACCAGTATGTATTTTATTGGAAACGCCATTTTCCAGATGGAGGACAAAAAGGATTTTTTAAATTGCGAGAGACCTGTGCCTTATTCTCTTGATATGGGAAAAAGGGGATGTCAAAAGACAATCTGTATGTTCAGAAGTTTTGGAAGCAATGGTATTCGGAGTATAAGTGGTTGTGTGGAAGTGTTTATTTAAAAAAACTTTTCTGTATGCTGTGTTTAATTGTGGGTGTAAAGTCGGGTGTGTGGAATAAGGAGGGATTTTAACAATTTTTGGAAACGTTACGCGAGGCTGTCGTAACCACAAAGCTTCTTTGAAACGTACATGTACGGTGTGCGTTAATGTTCGCAGAAGTCGAACTAATATTTCTATTTTTTATAAAATCTAAATGAAAATCCTTCTCACGAACGTCAGTTTTTCAGTAATTTTGCAAATGCAACTAAAAAATTCAGATTCATTTAACCTTGAAAATTTTTAAATTTTCGCCTGCGGCATATTTTTTTTCTTTTTAGTCAATCAATGAATATGCTTCACCTATTCTCAATGTCATGAGCCGCCAGTGACGGCCCGCCACTGATAAATTTTAGATGTTATATAAGTTTGTGAATTATAAATCTGAGACAAGTCAAAAATATCTTGGTTAGTTTAGATTTTCCGAATGTAAAATTTTCTATGTATTTTGACTGTTAGTTTGTAGTTTAGCATTAGATCAAATATAATATATCAAAAATTTTTTTTATATAAATTGTTCTACATCCTTCAAATGAAAAACATTATTTTTTCCTTTTACTAACATTTCAGATCACAAATTTGTCAACACCAAAAAAAAAAATTTCACTAGCAAAGCTCCTTGTTCTAGGGGAAAAAGAATTATAATACTGGGGTGTAAAAAAAACTTTTATGGCGGCTGTACACTCTCTGCGAGACACTCCGAGACATGCCGAGTGCGAGAGTACTCGGCATGTCTCGAGGGTAGCTCGCGCCTCACCTCGGTATGTCTCCGAGTGTCTCACCCGCTCTCGCTCCCGTGTCGGTTTTTCGTGCCTGAGTCAAAGGGTCTCGGCACGTCTCGCGAGGGAGCCGAGAGCATTGCTGTACACTCTCACGCGCTTCAGTGTCCAGGTAGCAACCGTGCGGAGTACACGTGTCACTACGACGTTACAGTAACGAATTAAATATGTGGAACAATAAGTGAATTAAATTTTTTAGAAATATATCAAACAGAACCTGCACTATGGGATCCAAATCATAAATTTCATAGACAAAAAGAAAGTTGCATGATGCTTGGGTTAGGATATCGTGCGGAACAGACTGAATTCCCTGTGGATGAACTGAGGAAAAATAAGGACTCTTTAATGGCAACGTACAGAGGACACCTACGAAAAATTCAAAATTCTTTGAAATCTAATCTAATGTGTCCATCCGCTCGGCGTTCGCAACCGCAACTGAACAGACGAAAGTGAACATGGTAGTGCTCGTGGATGAGCCTCTTGGGCGAGAGCGCTCGGCGAGAGTTGACGAGAGCACTCGCTCGAGAGTGTACAGCCGCCATTATACCTAATGCATTGTCTGTCAAAAATATTAATCAATGCGCTGCTATTTTGAGGACTTGACAGCTGAATTGTTTCAGAAATGGGCAGAGCACCATTTGTTACCAAATATCGGTAATCGAAATAGACAATATCTCATATCACTCGCTTCTACAGTCAAAACTTCCAAATACCACCACAAAAAAGAAAACGCAAAACTATCGAGATGGTATGTGCTGTTATTAAAAACAAACTAAAGAAAATATAATCAATTGTCAGAATTAAGTGGGTCTATGTTAAATAATATAAGGAGTAAATTTTATGTCACATGACCGATCAGTCCATCAGTTTTTGTTTGTATCCAGACTTCACCAGGAACCCAGTGAAAAATTATTATTATTTTTTTTTCAAGATCTATTGTACATTCAAATTACATCATTTATTCCAGATAAAACATCCACATTTAATCCTTTTTTTTTAAATTAAGTATTTATATGCAATTTTGTGTAAAAGATTTAGATTTCAGACTATTTACTTCACTATTACTGCAAACATGAAATTGGTACGTACCATTTGAACATCCTCAAGGATAACTTGTGGTTGAGAACCGGCTAAAACTTTAGAGCATATAAAATCAACTAATGTAGGTTCAGGTTCTCCTATATATTCTATAATCTTTTTATTAATCCAAGGACGTATCTTTTTCTCCATTAATCCGTTATCAATAGCGCCCCAGTCCAATTGATAAGCGAATAAAGCGTTTTTCTCTGTGGGAATTTTTTCTATTAAAGACTTTATGTGTTTTCTCTTTTCTTCCTGTGATTTAGATTCGTCCACTTTCTTCTCAATCGTATCTTTATCTTTTTTGCTTTTCTTTTCTTCACTGTAATCTACAACATAAAATAAGAGAATGTTTTGTAAGCCCAGTAAAATCTATTTAAATTATGAAGACCTATAGCAAAATTCTACACTATCCAACCGCTCTGGTTTTTTTGCATATGCGACTGTGAAATACAGCACATGTAATGTTAACAGTTTTTAAATATATCTATGTATGTACAGGGTGATTCAGTATATTTCGACTCCCCGTTATAAAAAAATGTGAAATACGAAAATTGCACGATTATTTATGAACTTCTCGAAAATGATAGTCCAAACAAAAAGGTCGCGGATGTTAACTTTGTTAATTTAAATGGAAGACTATTTGGATAAAACGTTCCCTGTCGAGTATAGTCATATAGGGTTTGTCGAGTCCATCTCTAACAATAAGCAAGATACTATAAAAAAAACGAAAAGAAGGTTTTTTATTAAGAAAATAAGATATATTGTAATTGTTAGACCTCTTTCAGGGATTTCTGCCTTTTTTCCAATTATGACAGAATGGTTATAGTGAAATCAGACAATGATATTGCCAACTGTTTCAATGAGTATTTCATATCGAGTGTAAGAGATATATGTAATAAACAATATAAATGGTCATGAAGAATGGTCCGCCATTCATCGTCCAGAAATAAGAACCAACCTCTAAAAGTTTAGTGATATAAGCCTTAATGAACTTAGAAATACAATATCTAAATTGAAAAATAAAGATTCTGTACATGATGTTATGAATGGTAAAATTTTAAAAAATATCATTGATACGTGTGGTCAAATGATCCAATGGACTTCAGAGCAGTCAACACATTATTCGAAATTGAAAAGGTTATTGAGAGAGCAGCATATAAACAAATTGTTGAACATATGAATAATAACAATGTTCTACTAGGAAACCAGTCGGGTTTTCGTAGTAAACACTCTTGTGAAACAGCCTTACAACTTACGGTTACTAGTTGGAAGCAGATGGTCGATAAAGGAAAGTATATTGTGGCAGTGTTCATTGATCTGAAACGGGCATTTGAAACAATTGACAGAGGTATTCTTTTGCAGAAATTAAAATTGTGTGGTATTAAATCCATGGCTTTGTAATGGTTGGAAAGCTACCTAAGTGATAGAAAACAGATTGTGAAAATAAATAAATAAGTCTCTACCGCAAGGCAGATAAATCTAGGTGTACCACAAGGTAGCGTCATCGGACCATTACTATTCATACTCTACATGAATGACATAAATTGTTCTGTCAATGCGGACTTTGTGAATCTTTACGCAGATGATACTAGTGATGATTGTTTGGAGACAGCTGTTCAAAAAATGAATGATGAATTAATCAAGCTTGAAAACTACTTGATGAGGAATAAGTTGAAACTCAATGTACAAAAGATCAGCTATGATCCTTTCTAAACATAATAGGATAAAAAATGTGGATAAAGATAATATAACATTAAGTATGGAGAATAAAAATATAGAAATTGTGAAACAATTTAAGTACCTGGGAGTGGTATTGGATGAAAATTTAACTTTCAAGGAACAATTTTTAACAATATGAAAAAAGATTTCTAAAAAGTTGTTTTTCTTATCAAGAATAGTGTCTCAGATATCAATGAAAACAAGATTGATAGTCTATAATAGTGTCATTCAGTCACATTTTGAATATTACAACAATAGTAAAACTTCTCTTCAAAAACTTCAAAATCGTGGTATGAGATTAATTTTAAAATGTAATAGATATACTCCTATAACTCCACATGCAGATGCTACGGTGGCAATCAGTAACCAAAAGGTCGACTTTCTCTACAATGATCTTCACCTTCAAGATAATCAGGATTGATGCCAAGTTATTTCAGTCAGTTCATCAGGTTTAATCATGAAATTCATGAGTACGTTAGAAGTGCAAATAACTTTCATATAGACAGATTCAATACCAGAAAAGGTATGAACTCATTATTCATGCGAGGCCTAATTGGATATAACTCTTTACCTAATGAAGTTAAAGTCTGTGATAAGCTTATAACATTTAAAAGAAAACTTTTAAAATACTTGTGAACTTTGTCGTATTTGATGATAAATGTATGTCTGAATGAACTTATTGTGATATAGTCCAAGCATTCTGTCACGGATTAATGTTAAATTTGCAGAAATTATTACCTGGATAAAAAAAATATGACCGTATGGAAAATTAAATTTTAAATTGAGTTTCTTGTTCTTTAAACTCGATCCAATATGGCGAACATGGTTAAAAAAAATCGCAAATTTGAAAAAAACGGTTTTTCTAAAATAACTAAAAAAATATAGCACGGATTGAAAAATTTTAAATGAGAAAGTTGTTGGTTTTAAAAAGATCTATCGACTGATTTTTTGAAAGTATACATTGCTTTGTTACTTTTCGAGATATATCGAAAAAACCGTTAAAAATCTTCTCTTTTCTCTTCTTCTATAACTCGTTTACATTTACGTGCCCATATTTGCTATTTACTGCAAGCATAGCCCGCGGCAAGCCAAAAAAGTACATTTTTGAAAAATTTAAAAATATTAATTATTTTTCGAGATATATCGATTTTTTGAAAAAAAGGCGCTCTCGAAAATTGGCTAGATCTTCTCAGCGGATAGCCCTACAGTAACGATTTTCGGTTTATTTTCTTCGTAAAGAGTTATATTATCATGCTGTTAAAAAATGTTGACGATTTTATTAATTTTAAGGATCAAAAAATGACTTTGAATAAGTTGCACTTTTTTGGGTATGTTTTTTTCAAATTACTATTTCAATTTTTATTTTATGAAAATGACTTTTAAAGAAAGAAAACTAAACATTTACGGGTCTATTTTGCTTCTAAGGCGAAAATGCTATAATATTCGTGTTTAGCTACCCCAGATTAAGTACAAAAAAATAATAAAAATTGAAATAGTTATTTGAAAAAAACATACCCAAAAAAAGTGCAACATTTTCAGTCATTTTTTGATCCTTAAAATTAATAAAATCGTCAACATTTTTTAACAGCATGATAATATAACTCTTTACGAAGAAAATAAACCGAAAATCGTTACTGTAGGGCTATCCGCTGAGAAGATCTAGCCAATTTTCGAGAGCGCCTTTTTTTCAAAAAATCGATATATCTCGAAAAATAATTAATATTTTTAAATTTTTCAAAAATGTACTTTTTTGGCTTGCCGCGGGCTATGCTTGCAGTAAATAGCAAATATGGGCACGTAAATGTAAACGAGTTATAGAAGAAGAGAAAAGAGAAGATTTTTAACGGTTTTTTCGATATATCTCGAAAAGTAACAAAGCAATCGATACTTTCAAAAAATCAGTCGATAGATCTTTTTAAAACCTACAACTTTCTCATTTAAAATTTTTCAATCCGTGCTATATTTTTTTAGTTATTTTAGAAAAACCGTTTTTTTCAACTTTGCGATTTTTTTTAACCATGTTCGCCATATTTGATCGAGTTTAAAGAACAAGAAACTCAATTTAAAATTTAATTTTCTATACGGTCATATTTTTTTTGTCCAGGTAATAATTTCTGTAAGCATTTCTCTATAATGCTTGGACTAATATGACTATTGTTTGTTGTATTTTTATCAATTAGGAATATTAGGATTTCCTATTTAAATAAACTACTACTACTCTCACAGCCTAATTAGTGAGATTTAGTTAAAAATACCCATACGCATTTTGGACTGTATCAATGTCCGATATGTCAAAATATATTACAACTAAATCTGTAAATCCTTACGTAATTGGAAAAAGGCAGAAATGCCTGAAAGAGGTCTAACAAAACCTTCTGTTCGTTATTTAATACTATCTCGCTTATTGTTAGACAGACCCTATATTTAAATTAACAAAGTTAACATCCACGGCCATTTTGTTTGGAATTCATTTGTTTTTCTACTATCATTTTCGAAAACTTCATAAAAAATCGTACAACTTTTGTATTTCACATTTTTCTATAACTCCAAAAACAAAAAAGTTAAAGGGGCGGTCAAAATATAGTGAATCGCCCTGTACACTTATACGGGGGTGCCTTTTATATTTCAAGAATGGACGATTCTGGTGCTGCCATCTGCAAACCGACGTCCCTATCGTAAAGTTCAACTTTTTGTCGATATACTGAGAACATTTGAATGTATAGGCGCTACTTGTGTTGTTTACAGTGATGTGAAAAATTTATCTTGGTCCAAAAATGGAATTAAGTTGTAAACATTTCCATGCAAGTATTTTTTACAATTTTCAACGATTATCTCAACAACAGTGCATTGTTTGGTGATGTAACACTATCAAAAACAACTGTATATCGGAGGTATACGGAATTCAATCGTGGCTGTGGTTCGCTCACTGCCAAATTTCGTGAAGGTTATCCAAAATCGGGTGATGTGATATTGCAAGATCGTCATGTGACATCGTGAGATTGAGGCATCCTTGAGCATTAGTAGGACCAGCATACATTCAATATTGCATGAACATTTAGCTGCTAAAAAAAGGAGACTTTTTGAAAACTGAAAAAGTCAAATTGATCCACCGTACAGCCCTGATTTGGCACCCAAAGATTTTTTTATTCCCGCACATCAAAAATAAATTACAATGTCAACGTTTTCGACATCTGAAGAAGCGGTTGATGTATTCAAAATGCATGTTTTGGAGGTGCCTCAATCGGAATGGAAAAAGTGCTTCAAAAATGGGTTCAAGCACATGCAGAAGTATATTTATCTTCATGGAGAATATTTTAAAAAACACGAAAGCCATATACAGTCTGTTTAATAAGAGCGTACGACAAAACTCACAAAATCATTTGGGATGACTTAAAAAAAATACAGACATACTATATGATATATCATATGGTCTATAGACCATGATGCTTTATTATTAATATATCCAATCGCTTCTATTACTAATAATTGCCTGGTATCTCCAAGGTACACTTTCTATTAATTGGATAGCATCCATGTCAATCGAATCTGTCGATATAACTGCTTAACGGTCTAGATCCTGTTCCCTCGGAAATTCAATTTCTTGAGCGCTCACACATTTTCTATTGGATTTGCATCTGGCAACTGTGACGGCCAATCCAGTACGTTAACATCATTTTCTTGCTTCCACCCAGTACGAAGACGACTCCAATGTTTTAGGTTATTGTCTTCTCCCAGTAGCCAATTTTCATTTTTCCGCATAAACCACCTTTCGGCAGATGGTAATAAAGCCCTCTGATATATTTTGACCATTTTGGCAGCGTTCAAATTTTCTGTGAAGATGTGTAAATTGCCAAATCCCTGCTTTAAGAGACAGCCCCAGATGTGCACTTTTACCGGGTGTTTAACGGTCCGCTGCATGAGTCTATTGGCGTCATCCAAAAATATTACGTTGTCACGGTCCAAATTTTCTGAGTCTTTTTTCAACGTTTTTTTCAGACAGTAGAGGTTTCTTCACTGTGCTTCGAAATTTCACTTCATGAGCCAGTAAACGCCTTCTTATAGTGTCACACGATACATTTAGACCCTTTTTACGCAAAATCGCTTGCCCCCTACGCAATGATAGACAAGGATTCTGCTCAAATGCCCATAAAATCACTCTGTCCTCCTTTTGCGTACAGAACTACGATCCGGTAGGACATCGACGTTTTTTACGTCGGAATAACGTTTCACCCACTTATTCACAAATGTCTTCTACATTTTTGGTCCTTTCGGATGTAAACACAGAAACACGGCTTCGTAACGTGATGCGTACGCAGCAGACACGGTGAAATACGTTATTCTGCGACCAAGGTCAAACGACAACTGAGGCATTCCGTACAAAGCATCTGAGGGGAAGGGTATCACTACCTGCTCAGGCTTAAATTTCCCCTCTAACAGTTTCGAGGACAAAGTTTTGCCATACACGCTCTTATCAAACAGACTGCACAATGATCAATTTCTTTTTTTGTACTCAATTCCCAAAATATAAAAGGCAACCCTTGTATGCTGCCAAGACCTAATACATTTTAATTTTCATGACGCCTCTGTGATTTATACGGACAATATGGAATTTTATGGTAGATTTAACGAAAAAATGTTTAGAGCCCACATTAAATGACTTATTTTTTTATCTCTAGTGTTATCTATGGTAATATATCTTTTCCTTGAAAACAGTATTTTAATATTTCTATACAGACACACTAGATATAAATTAACCTACCTAGTGGCACCAATTTTCTTCTCTTGACTTGAGTATTGTTATCATCTTCGTCAGGATTAAATACTTCCCTGAGATCTACTTTCTTTCGTTTAGAGTCACGGGTAGGAGACTGTAAAGTAATAGGTTTGGATAAAGTAATCTTCATTCCGATACTGGTAGGACCAGTAGAGGGAACAGACTGGTCATCGTGATTTGACGTAAACGAATGCCTCGAGTCTTCTTCAGGCGCCTGTACTTGGGTCCACTAAACATTTTAAATTCAATTAAAAAAAAAATTAAAAAATAAATGATTATACCTGAGCTGAATCCGAATTGTCGACAGAATTATTTTCTGGTTCGGGAGGTGCTGGGCTGTAGTGATTATCATCCATGTCACTATCACTGTCTATAGGTTCTGCTTCGACAGCGGCTAGCTCTTGGGCAGCTTGCTGCACGATATACCTGAAATAATCATAAGAATAAAATATATAATAAATATTTCATATTACAATATTTACTTTTCCCTTTCTTCACGCTGCCTCTGCCTATCTCTTTCCCTGTTCAATTCTCGATTTCGTTCTCTTTCCCTTGCACGTTGCCTCTCTAATTCCCTTTCTCTTTCTCTTTCCTTCTGTTTTGAATGCTCCAAATTGACATCTATTAATAATTTTGGTTTATACTGTTCCTCCCTTTCTTTTTTTGCCTAAAAAGTATATATTTTTATAAATTACTCGATAAAATCGATATAAGCTAACTCTTTCAAATTCGGCATTTGGGTCTTCGTGTTCGCCTGCGAATATCCTATTTTTCAGTTCTTCTATTTCTTCCTTTTCCTTTAATCTGTCCCTGTTATCCATTTCAGCTTCCTTTAACCTATCGGCGACACGTTTTTGCAATTCACGGCCTCTACAATATCAAACAAATATTGAGTAACATTGTACTAGTAATGTATTTAATTTAATACTTATAATACTTGACGTCATCTCTTTCGTCGTCATAATCTTCTAGAAATTCTTTAAGTCTTTTGGCATCATGTTCTCTCTCTTCTTCTCTCAACCTGTCTTTTTCCCTCTCTTTTTCATACTCTTTGGCTTTTCTTCTTTCTCTCGTCTCCCACGCTCTAAAAATTGAGAATTTATTTTGCTTCTAAAAAGTATGTTTATCAACTTACCTTAGCCTTTCTTGATAGGCAGCTTCTTTTTCGCGTGCCCTCCTTTCGGCTTTTTTCTTGTCTTTAGCCTCTTCTTCCATCTCTTTTTCCTTCAAGAGATCCCTTGAACTTTTTTTATCATCACGTTCTCTATCCCTCTCCCTATCACGTTCTCGTTCCCTTTCTCTTTCACGTTCCCTCTCCCTTTCTCTTTCTTTTTCTCGTTCTCTCTCCCGTTCTCTATCTCTTTCGCGTTCTCTTTCCCGTTCACGTTCTCTATCCCTTTCTCGTTCCCTGCTCCTTTCGTGGGATCTTGAAAACATTTACAAATTTACATTTTTACTTAATTTTAAAGGGTTAGAGTATACCTCGATCTTGAATGCTTTCTGCGTTTCTCCTCTTTTTCTCGTTTCCTAACTGGGCTCGGTGAAAGTGAGCGTGATTTGTCTCTATCCCGTCCTTTTTCCTTTTGCTCTTCCTTTTTCTTACGGACTTCCTTCTCCTCCTCTTGTTTCTAAAAAGAAACTAGTGATAATGGTGGTATAAACGAAAGGTAAATTATATTGTATAGGAAAAGTCATACCCACGTCTTGCTAATTAGTAAATACATCTTTATAATTTCAAACAGTAAACGATGTACTGATAAATGCTGTAATTAAGTAAAAAAACCAAAATTAATGGTTTACTTTTTAGAATAAACCAAAATAAATAGGTATTCTAAATCATTCGAAAATATTATCATTCATATGGAAGCATACACCGTAAAAAAATTAAAAGTTCTTTTCATTATACTACAAATATTCTCAATTTATATACACATTTTTTTCTATCAAAAAATCCATAATAGTTTTTGACAAGGTGTTAGTTTTGGTTACATATTTACTTAAATTTATTCCAATATTTTACATCAAATTAAATTAGGTTGGATACAGAATGTTCAAATGTAAATTCAATTTGAATACTGAATTTCTATATTACTTGACACGTTGGAGCAAATGCCAATTTAGTTCAGTAGTTCAGTCTCTATAGACTAGGCGGTATCGGTTTTGGTTTGGGTGAATCGTATATCCACGGAGATTTTTGGATTTTTGGCTTTCAAATATCACTAGAAATGAAAATTTTTCTATGCGCATAAAAAAAACGTGGGCTTAACTTTTGGCGGCGCAATATGTTAAAAAAATTTGAAAAATGTCATATTTTTCTTCCTATTTAATTATGTATCTTTTCAAAACATGTCTAGTTACAAATCGAATGAATCATGATTATTATGGTAAAAATCTAAAAAATCGCAGAAATGGGGGTAAAAAACGATACTTTTTAGGGAATTTTTTTGGGGTATTTAAATTGGGTATAGGACCTTTATACTTGGCTCAAAAAAACTTCATGTTATGTAGAATTATCACACCAAATTTCATCAAAATCGGTTCGATAGATTTTACATAATAATTTTGCAATCCAGATTTTGAAAAAAAAAATTGCAAATTTCCAAAATTTTGCACATCAAAAACCAAGGCCCTTAGATACTTAAAAATTTAATCACATATAGAAGGGCTCTCAAGCTTTCAAACTTTTTTTGAAAAATCCGAATCCGTCAATTAGGAGAGCTCTGGCGCTTGTTTAAACATTGGTCGAATTTTTGTACTTATAAACAATTAGAACTTTGTGAATATTCAATCAAATCAAATTTTTTAAAGCAGGTTTTAAAAGTTCTTGGAAAGACGCTTCCTTAAAAAAAAACAGATCGATTGATCAATTAGTTACGTAGTTATAGCCGTCATTTACACTAAATGTACTGGGACATCCGGGCTAATTTTTCGAAAAATACCTTTGGTATTCCGAGTACTTACCAGGTCTAAGATTACAATACTTTTCTTCATTGGCAACCTACTTTAAAACGTGTTTAAAGTTATTTATGCAAGCGAGAAATTCAATAAAATCGTACGGGTGGTGGTGGTGGGGGAAGCAGAGAGCGCGGCCGCTTCGGCCTGCTCGAAATTGAATCGGCTATAACTACGTAACTAATTGATCAATCGATTTGTTTTTTTTTAAAGAAGCGTCTTTTCAAGAACTTTTAAAACCTGCTTTAAAAAATTTGATTTGATTGAATATTCACAAAGTTCTAATTGTTTATAAGTACAAAAATTCAACCAACGTTTAAACAAGCGCCAGAGCTCCTAATTGACGGATTCGAATTTTTCAAAAAAAGTTTGAAAGCTTGAGAATCCTATATGTGATTAAATTTTCAAGTATCTAAGGGTCTTGGTTTTTGCAGTGCAAAATTTTGAAAATTTGCAATTTTTTTTTCAAAATCTGAATTGCAAAATTATTATGCAAAATCTATCGAACCGATTTTCATGAAATTTGGTGTGATGATTCTACATAACATGAAGTTTTCTTGAGCCAAGTATGAAGGTCCTACACCCAATTTAAATACCCCAAAAAAATTCCCTAAAAAGTATCGTTTTTTACCCCCATTTCTGCGATTTTTTCGATTTTTACCATAATAATCATGATTCATTCGATTTGTAGCTAGACATGTGTTGTAAAAAATTTAATTGCAAACATTTCTTTCCTCTTCCATTTTCGCCTAAAATCAACTCTTGAAAAGATACACAATTAAATAGGAAGAAAAATATGACATTTTCAAATTTTTTTAACACATTGTGTCGCCAAAAGTTAAGCCCACGTTTTTTTTATGCACATAGAAAAATTTTCATTTCTAGTGATATTTGAAAGCCAAAAAGCCAAAATCTCCGTGGATATAGTACATCATGGCACATCTAACGAGTATGAATAATAAAGCAGATGTGCATTAAAATGTGGAACAAATTAATATTTCATATCTAACAAAAAAATGTGTGAAATCCACAGAAACCGGTAGAAGAGTGAAAAGAAACATACATGTAGAACAGCCAAATGGAATAAATTCAGAAATGATATCCTGAAATGTAAAAATTTCATCCCCTCGGAGTGGCACTTGCAACCCCTCAATTTTTAAATGGGAAGTAGAAGATTGTGATACCTCATTTCAAAGGCCTTCCCATTCTCTATTCAAAAATGTTATAGTTTTAAGATTTATTGCAACAATTATTGGTTTGCTTCACGACATTCGTTACAAAAAACAAAAATATTAAAAATTAAAAAGTTTTGTTCTTGCGGGCTAGCAAAAACAATTTCAGTGTTCTTTTTCAACATTACCAACTAAATGGAAGACATAAAAACTTATTAAAATTCTTCATAGCTGGCATTGCCCGTTTTATTGAAAACGCCGTAGGTACTTACTATTTACCAATGGGAATATAAAATAGTCTTCAACTCTCACAGGATTGTGAAAGTTGAAGACTTTTTTTTATATTCCCATTGGTAATAAGAACTCACACTTATCTCTGTCACGTTTACTTGCTATTTAATTAACAGCAATAAATAGTTGTGTTTTGCATATTGTTTGAGTTTTGCTAACTGCAATCCCTAAACATGGTTTATTTAACAAAAATGGAGAAAATAACAATTATACAAATAGTTGGTTACGGATTAGAACACGTTCACAGGTCGATGTTGCTGGCCTATTTCAAAAAATATTTCCTGATTTGCCGCCTATATCCCAAGGTACAATTAGCGAAAGTAAACAGCAGTTTTTGCAAAAATAAAATGCATCTCTATAAACTGATCAAAACTCAGGACGATTTTGACAGAACATATTTTTGCAAATAAATGATGCAAAGATTAGAGTTAGAAAATGTTTTGTTTTCTGATGAGTCTCTTAACTCTTTATCGTCAAAACTCGTCGCTACTGGGCTAATGAAAATTCTCGCTGGAAGAGAGAATTATATACGGAAAATCCTGAAAAGGTTAATTTTCAGGCAGGGATAATTGGTTCCTTTTTAAATGATGGCAATTTGAATGGAGATAATGATTTACTTCTGCTCCAAAGTAATGTTCTGCCAATTTTTTCAAACTTATACCTTGCTCAAGCAAACCCACAAGTTCCAGCTGATGTAATACGGTTTCAGCAGGATGGAACACCACTACATTACCGAATCAATGTTCGGCAATAGCTCGACTTAACTTTTCCAAATCAGTGGATAGGGAAGCGAGGATTGTTAGAATGGCCAGCACTTTCTCCTGATCTTACACCCCTAGATTTCTTTCTATGAGGATATGAGAAAAGTATGGTATACAAAACTAAGTCACATTATATAGCCGACTTGACAAGAAAAATATCGGTTGCGGTTAGGTCGGTCACACTTCAGGTGTTGGGAAACGTTAGACATTTTTTTTACAATTAGGATGCTGCCAAGACGATCAAGGATCTAATTTTGAACATCTCCTACATTGAAATTAAGTTTTTTTGTTAGTTTACTGTAGCGAATTTCATCAAGGCAGATGAATTTATTTTTTTACTGCTATTTTTTGCAATAAATATGAAAACCGTTGAATGGAGAATGAAAAGATACCCTACTTCCCATTTAAAAATTTGGGGGTTGCAATTGCCACTCGAAGGGGTTTGAATTTAGGGGCGAAATTTTTACGTTGCAAGGTGTCATTTCAGAATCCAAAATCGACATGTCCCGGGATTTTTTATAAATATACACAATAAGTGAGATACTGAATTTGTTCCATTTGGCTGTTCCACACTGTATATAAATGGAATACTAACTGGGGTTTCTAACAGAGAAAATACGTTATAATGAACAAATCTTGAAGCTATTCAGAAGTAAATGCACTGCTAAACACGGAAATTTGTTATCACCGGTAATACAGAATTTACGGAATTTTCAAAGGCAGATTATGTTGAAAAATACTAGGACTGGGGATTAATTTTGAAGGATTTACAATAGATGATGTAACATATTATGCTACATCGCATCGGACTCTTCTTTAGTATGTTCATGTCAAAGCTCACTTATTAGGTTTTTTTTTATAATGCAAACAACATATCTTTTCTCAGTTCTGAAGATGTTGAATTATAAGACAAAAAACACCATCTGTGGGAAGTTCTACTTTTCCTGTTTAATTCAAGAAAAGTGCTGCTGAAAGTCATCGAGTGCTGTTGTAAACTTACGGTGAACATAGTCCCTTGATAAAAACGTGTGAGTATTGGTTTCAATGTTTTAGAAGTGGTGATTTCGATGCAGTTCATGTCAAACACAAAATCAACGTGCTGAGTTGAATGTTGATTGCACAAGAGTTTCCAAACGTTTAATTGTATTTGGTATGAATCAAAAGCAAGGAAAATGAGTGCCATATGAATTGAACCCGAGAGATGTTGAACGGTGATTTTTCACGTGTGAACAATTGCCTCAACGACAAAAAGAAAGGGCTTTCTGCATCATCAAGTCACTGGCAATGAAAAATGGATACGTTATACTAATTCTAAGTATAGAAAACCATGAGGTTTGCCTGATCATGCATGAACATCGATGGCAAGGCCAATATATCATCAAAAAAACTTTAAAATGGGATATAATTTTTTTGAACAGGACGTCTGTCGGGTCCACTAGTAAATATATAAAT